TATAGGCAGGCGAGAGATATGGGCATTAGCGATGGGATAGCACGCAGCCTCCAAAACGACCTCCGCCAGTTTAAACAGGTCTTTCGAAGTCGCAAGAAACATTCCTCTGGAAGCCCTTCGGCGGAAGCTGGAGCGATGTTAAGCTGACGATTAAGATCTTCACGGGATACGACCTTTTTCTCTACCATTTTGCCTTATTTCTTTACTCATTATGGCCTATATATATCTTCGATCTCACTACTTCCTTATTACCTAAAGTTACTCCTCATCTTCCTCATCTTCCTGGAAGGGTTCACCATTATCAACTACTCGCTCGTCAATATCGTCATAGACCAGAACGTCGTCCTCGAGAACAAGATTCTCCTGATACCCTACCCTCCCATTTTCAAACCCACGGAGTTGTACACGAAGCTCATCATATCGCTGGTCAGAGATATAGATCCCGTGAGCTGCGTTTGCAAAATGCTCGAGCCCAAAGCGGTCACATTGACTGCGCGTAATAGCAAAGTCGAGGAACTCGCCAAAGTTGCTACATAGATGGCGCGTATAGACGTGATTACGTCTAATCCAAGCTTTAAGGACCGACCAGACCATCTCGATGGGGTTGTAGTCTGGGGAGTAGGGTGGCGTAAAACGTACAAGATGTCCTGCTTCCTCGAGAAGCCTTATAACATCCTCTGAAACATGCGTCGAACAGTTATTAAGTATGATAACGCGTGGACGAGGAGAGTCTCTAGCCAAAGACGGAAGCAGGACGTCCCGTAGCCACTGAATCAAATGCTCTCGACTGTAGTAGCCTTGGCGTATGCCATAGGCAATTAAGCCTCTGATCGTATACGCCCCGATAGCAGCCCAAGTCTTTCCCCGATGCATGTTCCTGAAACCGCGGGATTCATGCCCAATGGGCGAATAACAACGGTATCTCCAGCCCGTCTTCTCATTGAAGATCGACTCGTCAAGGAAGACCATATCATCGGCGTCAAACTGACGAAGCTCCGCTTGATACGCTTCCCGCATCTCTTGTGACCGATTCCGCGAGATCTACCTCATTCTTTTTCGTGACCAGCGTCTCCGCTTAATCACGCGGCATACCGTAGACTCGCTAACGTGTACGCCTCTTTCTATATCCAACCAGAATACGAGTTCATTAAGATATAGCCACCCTTCCTGGAGTAGTTTCTCGAAGAGCGCGTCTTCGTCTGCTTGCGACAATAAACAAGGACGGCCCCGTTTCCGGCGGTATGGGGCACGAAGAGAGCCATATCGAACAAGATGTGCACGATAGCGGTAGATAGTAGAAACTCCTAGGCCAGTTTCCGCTGCAATAGCTTGTGGTGACCAACCTAGGAGGAAATATCTAATGCATTGAGCGCGTTTCGTGTCTTCTACGCCATGGTAGTCATACTGCAGCTCTAAAGGCTGGCTAAAATCGCGTCAGTAATTTAAACTATATTAGTTCTCTAGGAATATATACATTTCAGACATTTGAGCCCCGAATTCAGCGCGTTGTGGTCATAAAATGGGCGATATCGCGTTTTCTGGTGGAATTGCGGGCGGGACACACACACACTCAAAAAAACGCCAAGCGTTCTCTCACATTTTGCAACCGCCAGTTGGAAAACAAACAAATGGCTTGTCGTTGCAGACAGCCATGTCAACAGTTATATGTGAGGCGCTTCTTTCTGAACTCTTCGAGAGTAACGTATACTTCTTCGTTTTCAGGGATCTCCGTACGAACAAATTCCTTTTGACTATCTAGACTAACATAATCCCAGACTTCAACTCGTTTTACGTGAACCTCAATGGCTGCAATCTATGGGCGCTAATCTGATTGCGTCTTGAGGTTTGGAATGCTGCTAACAGCGACTGCGAGGTCGTTTAAGGACGTAGACGTCGTGATTGTACGCGTAACGAGAGGATCGGATCGCATAAGACTAGTTAAAGCTTTGAATGACTCAAATAAGAACTGGCGAAGACCCTATCTCGATACTCGATATCGCGGATAATCCCCTTGTCTCATTTTCTTGCTCCAGGGTTCATTCCACTTGTCATCATTACTGTGGTGTATTATCAGTGCTGGTTCTCAGCCGCCTGTTGCCGCACCGTCTCCTCCGCCTGTCTCCCTTCATCAGCCTCATTCATATACTAACCCCCCCCTCCACCCCCCGGACGGTAGTATAGTTTCACAATATTCAAGGTCCTTTCCAAATTACAATACCATCGTCTTCGGGTTATTCACATGCCACCTTTCCCTCTGCCTCGCAGTATCACTAACCCATAACGGCAAGCAGATCATCCACGTTGCGAACGCGGACCTCTTGGAAAGAGAATGGCTTTCGTAGTCGATTTTAAATGGGCCTCCCAGGCCATTATGGATCTAGAAGTGATCTTCTCAGCTGGTCCTCCCCGTTTAGAGACCGGCCAGCTCGGACCGGTGAAAGTTACGTCGACCGGCAATGGTCGCTGGCACGCGACTTCTAGTCCTTACTTCAACTGCGGCGCCAACATTGACTTCAAAACTCCGCCTGACACAGACGAGACGGGAGTACTTGTGAAGAGCGATGGAGACAAGCTGAAGAGTTGGTTCGAGGAGCGTTACCCGGAGGAACGACCTAATGTTCTCAAGGGAGAGAAGTGGAACTTCACCCTGGTGAAGAATGGAAGAGCGTTCAATTTCCACATCCTTGTGCGCGACCATGTCTAGAAGTTGAGACTAGTTGCCAGTTACTGTCTTTCCTATTATTCTGCGAACGTTCTCTCAGCACCCAAGCCCCAATAGATTGAGGTGGTGTATTTGCACGGTCATTTACAACAATATACAATTGTCTATGTTTCAGAGCTGGTTGGTCATTGACGCCGAAATAGCTGGAATATGTTAAGGAAGCAAAAGGTAGCAACCGGTAGATATAAGGAGGAAACAGTGTCTCTCGACTCATCTTGTTTTCCTTCTCTCTTTACGCAACATCTACAGAAGTTGGTCAGTCATCAGGAGAGACAAATAGTGACCGAAAGCTTTATTCTTACCTCCTTACCTCCCTTTAATCATCTATAATGTTTCCTCACTGTGTAGATTGAGCCTCCTTAGATATTCCAATCTCAATAATAAGGAATGAGTTGAAGGAGGTGAGCATGGTCACCAGTACTCACAAGTGACGAAGAGCGGCTAAGGTTAACTATTCACTTCTTTCCCCGTATTACTCGCTCGCTACTCCCTGTCCTTAACGTGGAAGGCCTTGGCACAGTGGCAGGGAGCTTTGGGGCACCGCCGGTAACTGTAACGAGAGCATTTCGCCTAAGCGGAAACCCCTCCAAAAACGGCGGTTTCTGACGCCGTTTTTCGAGGCAATTTCGGTAGCACACAACGTTACTCCGTACATCGTGAGGATTTCTTTAATCATCTTAAGAATTTTCCTACCATCAGCTAGGGCATCACTAGGACGGTCCCAAACTTGAACATCAGCTGTCCCGCAGATCTCCGCGGAATATTTGTAGATGGAGTGACTTGCGATCATCTGAGATCGGATTCTAAATCCCGCCGTGACGAATGAGTATTGGGAGCAGGCGTCTGTCAACCTCTAACTTGCTTCTCTTCAATATCTCGTTCCCTAAAATGACTGTCGTTGGAAGGTCTCTTCCAAGCCATGGGTTTCCGAGGCACCCTTGTATATATGTATTTTGATTATGGGTGTTCCCAAGGTCAGCGATACCGTTCCTCCCGGAGTATCGAAGGAAGATCCACTCCGAGCAACAATAATTTCTTGCATGTGCGTATCTGGAATCTTTATCTTATTAAGACTGTATGTGCACATTCGACCAGCATGGAGGATTTGGTGGGACGATGCTCTTGTGGCCATCGCATTTGTATGTCCACTCAGTCATGAAGACCATTGTGCAACAGAATAAGCTAACTAGGCACGCATAGCCGATCATAATCGGATTATGCGTTGTACAAGTTCTCAGCTACCAATATGGAAGCGGAACCCCCATATTGTTCCTTACAAAGGAGCAAATAATGATATTGCGCATGTACCTTGTGATCAGCACCTGGTTATGGTTCTGGACCGTGGCACTCACCAGGATGTCCATCGCTTTCATGATACTGCGAGTGAAGAAGACAGGCCCGTGGCGCATCGGCCTGTATGCAGTGATCATATTTCAATTGCTATTTGTTCTGGGTATCTTTCTGTGGGATGTTTCCTATTGTCGCCCTGTGCAGACTCTTTGGGATGCAAGCATTACTGGCGATGTCTGTATGGGTTATAAAAAGGTATTCCGAAAGAGTCTGGTGTACTCCAGTAAGTCCCGCCATCTTGACCCGCAGCAATGACCTTTGTGATACTGATTATAATGATTGCCTCAGCCATCCACATCTTGATTGACATCGGCCTTTCCCTTGTGCCAATAATATTTATACGCACAATCAACAGAAGTCTCTTAGAAAGGATCCTGCTTTCTTGCTTGATGGGCTTGGGACTAATCACGTCATCCATTGCGGTTGTGAAACTCGTCATCGCAAGTCGCATTGAAAAATCCAAGGATCCAATATACGAAGGACACCTGTGGGCGTCCTGGGCATGGGCGGAGATGACGACAGGGATTATCGCTGCTTGTGCTCCATTCCTTAAAGCACCTATGGAAGGCTGGTTAAGGAAATGGCACTTGATTCCGGCCCGTGGCGAGTCTCACGTATCTACCAGCGGCGTTCAGTCTCGGATATGGCAGTTGAGCCGAGCCCAAAAGAAAGAGGAAACCGATGATCTCGAACAAAGCCGCAGCGAACGAGACGAGGAGTGGACAGCGTCAGAACAGAGCCACAGCGAACGAGACGAGGAGTGGACAGCGCCAGAACAGAGCCAGAACAGAGCCACTCATTTGAATAATCCAGGCAGCTGGGGGGGCAATAAGAGCCGTGAGTCAGTATTGGACCAACCGGGTGGCAGTCCTGACTCCAAAAGGAGAGTCGATGAAAAGATGGATCCGTAATGACTATGAGTCTGGCCACTGCGACCACGCGAAGGCTGTACAGTCGGGGCTCATCCCGAGATCCGGCCACCGTGCAACATTTTCTGAACACTTCATGTAGACGGCTCGGAGAAACATGGAATAGCGGTCTCTCCATCATCTTAGATGCCTATGGCAATGGTAGATAGTCAATGTCCTTAAGTAGTGGTCGAGAAAGAATGTCTTTAAGGATTTGAAACTTGTCTGGAAGGCATTTTGTGCAATGGCTTCGGCCACAATCAAACTGAGAAGGCAGAATGGCTTGTATGGGACTAAAGTGGTGTAGAAGGTAACACTGAGACAGAGTTAGTAGCGCTCGAAGTAGGGACTGAGGTAGATATTATCGCGGTATGACCATAAGTACTAGTGGTCGCTCTTATTTTCGCCCGCCCGATGCTGATCTTAGCTACGAGGGAGATCTTTACGATACCGTCGCAAGGGTTTCTAACGACTGATGAAGTGACCTGCTTGAAGAGAATGTCCGTGGTTAATGAATCCGGTCGAAAACCTCCTATCCCAGTAAGTAACATGACTGTATGGAAAGAAGTCCGGACTTGTGGTGTATAACGGATATCTTGAAAGCAATCCCATATAGTCTTCACAATAACAGCGATATCTTCGGTTGTTACTTCCACGCGCTTGTATTCGATTGTGCGACTCGGGGCTATATAAATGGCGCAGAGTATTCTAGAGCTACTGTTACTTCGCGTATCATAAGGCTCGAACCGTTGGGCCAATGAGCCACGAGGTTCTGTAGGAGAGTTGAGATCAGGAGAGAAGCAGCGACACGCGGAGCTTGAGTTAAGAAACTTAGAAAGCGACATCAAAGAGGGAGGGAAGTGAAGGCCCTCCACTTCTTGAGTGGCCCACAGTGTGCAATATTCTGGCTAATATCCCTATCAGGCAATTCGGGCGGTACTCGTTGCAACACACCCAAACGACGCCAACTGAAGCCTAGCAAGGATGAACACAATGCCACAGGCGCCCAGCTGCGTACCAATTAACGAAAACTTTGACTTAAATTGGAGGTAAAAAACTTGAACTTTTCCTACAGAGGAAGGCCAAGAGAGCGGCCACCAGCCCGCGGTTCATGGAAACTGTCCATTATAGACTCATACAGAAAGATCGCATATGAGATTGGTTCTACAGGGCGGAAGAGAGAAATCTGTAGCAAGACCGCATGATATCGCAGTACTATAGTCTATAAGGAATGAATGGAAGGCGGGAAGATCAATCAGAATGGTGTGCACTAAGACCCGTTACAGGAATGAGTCGAAGGCGGGAAAATGGCGAAGAGGAAATAGCAGGCATCCTCTAATCCTCTTTGACTGAAATCCAGATGCGAGAGAGGAAGAAAACTGGAAGCAGAATGCAAGTTCCTATTCATTGCCTGCTTGAGTACATATTTCTAAATGGTTCGTTTTCTAATACATACGGCCATATCAACCTGAACAAAACGAGGACGACGGAGCAAGTACCATTCATTTCGTGAGGGCAAGACCCTACGAAAACTACTTTTGCCCCTACAAAATTGGTTGCTTCTACTCTCAGACAATAGGCATAAGAAGGAGTGTGAATGGGTTGCAGGGGTGAACAGATAGTGTTGATCGTTTTGGCGTGTCAATCAATCACGGAAACAATAGGATACCTGTTCAGAGGCAGTGAGATGCTTGTATTCGGTCAGAAGTACATAGTTTACCTTGACGGGTATATATACCCAGGGCTTATGTAATCTTATGTAATCTACAAGGTGCGGTGACTAAGTAATAGCCGCGGAGTTCCAACAGATAGACAGTACCTGCGTGGACATCGGGCTCCCAACGCCCCAGAACAGGCTTTTACAGTCCTTAAAAATTGGGCCGGAGAGGCCCAACGTACCTGCCTATGGCTGGGCCATTATCGAGGGCCTCACTTTGCCCATCATCAGCGATCTGAGAGGAGATTCGAAAAGTAACCTCAGGGAACCTGTGATACCACCAGGCACAAAGCCCTGAAAGCCTGAAAGCCTGAGCCCTGAAAGCCTGAATTCTGAAATCTGAAACAATACTGTGGCGCACAGATCACTAAGAATCGATGCATGAATGTAGTTTACGCCAAGACCTAAAAGGAGGCTGTGCTCTAAAAGTTTCTGGAGCTGCAAAAACCGGAAGCCAATTTCGCTAGTTTCTATACCATAAGAAGGCTCTGAAACTGCACAAAATCAGAACGGGCTTCTTTGCTTGCACTCCAAGCAAAGAAGCCCGTTCTGAATTGGTAATGCAACCCTTGTCATTCGTCGTCAGGGCCCGTACCCTCCTGTTTCCACAAGCCAGCTGTTCTAAGTTTAGAAGTGTGGACGGACAAGTCAACCAACATAACGTCGGCATCGCCTGTCTACCACGAATCTAGATCCGAACCAACGGAAGCAGCAGTAGAGTTCTGTTGGATTCGAGGCGTTTATGAGACCAGAGAATTTCACGTATTTACAACACTATGTACGTACATTTTGATATCTGATTACATCCTAACCAAATCATATCTTGGAGTCTATCATGCTCTGAGCGACCAAGGCTTACCAATTAAACGCCTCAGTGTGAAGCATGACTTCGTTTGCCTCGCCTCGAAGCACCGTCCGCTGAAGGCCAGCCACCGCATTGCTTAAGTCGATCTTCAGACCTTCCGGGCCACAACCCAGCACAGCGGTGCGGGTCTTGCCAACCATCTTGGGTATCAGCTCTCCCAGGTTCGGGCGCCCGTCAAATCGCTTCTCGATTGGCAAGTCGCTGCCGTTTCCGCTGGACCCGTCCTCCGTGATCGCTTCGCCTACTTCCTTCTCCTTGACCTCTAAATCTGTGCTGGCCTCGATCGTTGGGCTACCGTTTTCACTGCTCCTTGTCACATGGACATGGACTACACAATGGCCACTAGTAGTGAGATCTCGTAGCCCTTTGAGTTCGTTCCGAATCCACGTTACACTAGACTCGTTCCTCACCATCCAAATAAGCGCCACCCGCTTTGTCACAATGTCGCAGTTTCCACGTATGCACTGTGCCAAATGCAAAAGCCATGGCAACACCGCCGTTATCCCGGCACCGCCTGCAACCAGCACTACATCCTCGTAGACATGCTGAAGGGTACGCATCCGCGTCCCATACGGGCCGTCCACAATCGCGGAAACCTGGTAGTCGGGCGACTTGCTGGCTTCGGACAGCAGTCGACGGGTGAATCCTTTCTGCGAACGAATGAAGAATGTGAGCACATTCACCTGTTCGACTTTCACCTGGATGCCTCCAAAAGAGGAACCAAAGTGGACCGGGAGGGAGCTGATCGTAAACGGATGATGATCGAATAGCCGAAGCTGTGGAAATCGTAGAAAGCAGTGTTGACCCGGTTTCCATGTCCAGTCCCCCGGTACGACGACATCGAGTCTTGCCATTCCGTTCTTGCCCGGTTCCAAGACACGGACTGTCGTCGGGCAACCGCGAAGCCAATGCCCCGTGAGCTTGAAAGCGGACATCTTCCAGAAGAAGCGGGCGAGGATCGAGGCAAGCCACAGCGCCGTTGTGGCCCATAGATAAGCCCAACTATCGCCCAAGTTCCCGCAGTGCCAGTACATGAGGCCAAGGAACACGATCGCGGCCATCACATGCGTATGAACGAAGAGCTCATACGCGAGGCGACGGACGATGGGAAGAGATAGGAGAGCGAGCCACGCGAGCATACCAAGGGGAGGAGTGCCATTGTACTGGGGTCTCATTGTGAGTCGGAATGTCTGATGCGGAGCGTGGTCGATCGTACCTCAAGTGCACCTGGAGCATAAAACTTTTTGCGTAATCTAGCAGCGCCTCCTTCTTTGGCAGAACTCGACTGGATCAGAAAAGGGATGGTGTGAAGCATCGACAAGTAAAACAATATCCACCCCGCCCAGCGATGAATCGTGTTCAACTTCTCATGACCATATCCGGTCAAGAGAGTGACAATGTTCACCTTCCCAGCGAGAGCAACGGTCAGAGGAATTACAGCGTTGGCCATTAATCCCGTCCGGACACCAAGCGGAGGAGATCCGTACGCTCGGAAAGGGCGGTAGTACGGATGCTGCACAAATGCCATGATCGTTACTGTAAGCACCGACAGAAATACAAGAAGGCTGACACCCAACCCCGGAGCGCCCAAGTACTCTCCCAGCTTCCCTGGTATTCTCCGGTACGAGATGGTTCGGACCATGGCCACGGATTTGTCCAATGTACTTGGATTCCTTTCTGCGCTAGGACAAGGCGTCCTATCTATAACGACATATGTGAAGTGTACCGCGACGAAGAATGCGAGTATGATGGTGTAGTACCATAACACCAAGTGCCCGTACCGGAACTGCGAGTCCCAACTGATCGCCTTCTGCGAGGCATTATGGTCCGCGTAAAACTCGATGCAGGAGTCGTTGCGGCATCGAGGGTCAGAGAGAGGGAGCGCTGCATACCAGTCTGCGACTTCCACTGGTCCGTGGTCCATGACGACGATCTTTCGCGTGCTGTTGAAGTTCTGAAATGCAAGACAAAGTTCAGAGTTAGCTACCGTTGTTTCGGGATCCGGACAAGCAGCAGAGCATATATATCTTCGTCTCAAGGCCTTCCATCCAACCAACAGGGAGGACCTGTCGCAAGATGCCCCTGTTCGTTTCTACCACCAGGCAACATTCCTTTCTCTGCCCATTACCCCTAGGCTAAGCCTATTTAGGACTGCTCACTCTTTTCCTATGTATTTGCTTATCTTCAACGGTTTAGCTAGCTGGAACACACTCTTCTATACAATGGGAATCGTCAATATCAACATGCGCTGTGTCTACACAGTAACTGAGCTTAAGCAGCGAACTTGCTTAATCATTACCCCCGCGTAATGCGACAGGACCATGTCCTCCAAGCTGCTTAGCTCTGTGCCGAGGCATGGTTAAAATGCTTGGCTGGCCAATACAGGGCCTCCCAGGTCTTAGGAGAGGATGTGACTGGTTGTAGGGCATTGGATTATATTTAAGTAACTCGAGGCATGACATGATCCATCATCAGAAAAGGCCTCAAACTTGCTCTTCAAAAGGTGGTCGTCAAAAACGTGCGCTTTACACAACTCTGATCCTGGGAGCCGGAACTGACGCATTTCGCGAGGATGATGATTAAACAAGTTGTCAGAGATCAGAGGTTGGCTGGTGAGATTTGTCCCCAGCCAAATTATATCACGGTTGTGTATATGTTACGTGGATATTGTTCCGCGCTAGCCAGAATCATTCATCGTTTGGAATTGAAGTAGTGATCTGCATGGCGAACTTGTGCAAATTTGCACCCGACTCCAGCCTCAAGAGTGATGATGATGCCTAGCATCGTTGTAGGACTCTAAGACTCGGATAAGGGCCTTTAATGAGTTTTAAACGTAGTAAGGGTACGATGGTGGTGCTTTGGCTGAATAATTCTGTTACGGTATGGAAGAAGACTCTCCGGGAATCAGGCGAGAAGGCGGCGATGCCAACGTAATTTTTTAAGTAGAAGTGGTCTTGAAGTTAAGGAATGGCTACATCGCACGAATTAAACAAAACTTTAGAAATATCAATGTGTGTACAGTGTCTGGCTTGCTCTGAGGCCCCAACCCCAACCGCAACCGCGGGCCTTGGCACCCCAACCCAACCGCAACCGCAGCCAAGAAACCCGGGGGAACCCGCGGGTTGGGGTTTTCCGCGGGTGCTGTTATGGTCCCAGGCCTGTGGCCTGGGCCCTTGGGTGTGGCTGATTGCCACAGAGATGTGGCTGGTGGATTGCATAGGGGTTATCAGAAAAGCAAACATGGTAACACTGCTGTTTTTAACGAGTGAAAACGGAGATCTAGCTGCGTACTGTGGGTAATGTTATGGGTTGAAACCCTTGGTTGGCTAGGGCTGCGAGCCTAAGCCTGATTAGGTCAAGGGTTGAATCAGAGTCCAACCCTCTTCGATATAAACAAGACGGCTTCCCCTTCTTGCTCTCTTCTTTAGCTTAATCAAGAATATCTTTGACTACGTGTATGTTGTGTGCATCCAGCTACCGTGCCGTAACAGACCTTTCTCTTTTATACCTACAATTTTTTTTTTCATTTCTCTTCTTGCTGATGCTCTAGAGGTGGTTGAAATCGGAGTTCTTGAGCTACCACGCGATCTTTGCTCAGCCCTTCTAGAAGATGCTAGAAATAACCTTATTCGAACTTTGCCTTCGCTATTAAAGAACCCGCTACCTCGGATCCCTCTATAGAATAGAGATTCGGAAGTGAAAAGATGAATAGATTATAATAAGCATGAACTTGTATCTTCTCACGGAAACCAAACTAAGTTGATTATGAAGCTCTTCTCCAACCACGGACTTAGCAGAAGTACTCTAGAGGATGTCTGGCAGTTAGCGCTGGTCTGGGCATTCTTCGGCTTAGCAGCCTTTTTGTTGGAGCAGCTTGACGATAGCCTCTTGTCCGTTCATGGCGGTCATCGACAGTGGCGTCCGGCCGTAGTCATCCTTCGAGTCGGCGTCGACATTGCCAGTGTCTAGCAATAGCTTGACGATGGCCTCGTGCCCGTTCACAGCGGCCCACCACAGCGGTGTTCGGCCGCACATGCCCTTTGAGTTGGCGTCGACCTGGCCCGTGTCCAGCAGCAGCTTGATGATGGCCTCGTGCCCGTTCGCAGCGGCCCTCGACAGCGGTGTCTCGCCAAAAAAGCTATTCTTCGAGTCGGCGTCGACTTGGCCTGTCCCGAGCAGCAGCTTGACGACGCCCTCGTACCCGCACGTAACGGCCCTCCACAGCGGCGTCCCGCCATCATTATCCTTCGGGTCGGCGTCGACTTGGCCTGTCTCGAGCAGCAGCTTGACGGCGCCTTCGTGCCCGTTCGCAGTGGCCCTCCACAGCGGCGTCATGCCATACATATCCATCGAGTCGGCGTCGACTTGGCCTGTCCCGAGCAGCAGCTTGACGATGCCATCGTGCCCGTTCTCAGCGGCCCTCGACAGTGGTGTCCAGCCATAATAGTTATACTTCGAGTCGGCGTCGACTTGGCCTGTCTCGAGCAGCAGCTTGACGACGCCTTCGTGCCCGTTCGCAGCGGCCCTCGACAGCGTTGTCCACCCATAAATATCCATCGAGTCGGCGTCAACTTGGCCTGTCTCGAGCAGCAGCTTGACGGCGCCTTCGTGCCCGTTCGCAGCGGCCCTCCACAGCGGCCTCCAGCCATCTTTATCCTTCAAGTCGGCGTCAACTAGGCCTGTCTCGAGCAGCAGCTTGATGACGCCCTCGTGACCATGCTCAGCGGCACTCGACAGCGGTGTCATGTCGTCGTTATCCTTCGAGTTGGCGTCGACTTGGCCTGTCTCGAGCAGCAGTTTGATAACACCCTCGTGCCCGTGCTCAGCGGCACTCGACAGTGGCGTCCGGTCGTAGTTATCCTTTGAGTTAACATTAACCTTGCCTGTGTCGAGCAGCAACTTGACGATGGCCTCGTGCCCGTTCGCAGCGGCCCACCACAACGGTGTTCGGCCGTCGTTACCCTTCGAGTTACCTCCAACAATTATGGTTGAAAGCAAATGCCTCGTGATTACTACGTGTCCCTCTTTTGCTGCTTTTAATAGAAGCTCAAATCCACCATCATTATTCCAGCTCGGGTAATTTGATTCGAAGAGATGACTGAAGATAACTTGACACACTGTCCTAGTACCGTTTTGAATACTGTGACTCTCCTTAGAGTTCTTCGAAAGGGTTATAAATGCTTCAATTTCTCCACCGGTCGAGATGCGCGTCCTTCTAGCGTGAGCGTGATCAACAATTGTAGAGCGCGTTGTACAAAGAATCTTCAATGCTTCTGGCGACACGGTGGTCGATTGATTGACTCCGTCCGAAACAATGAACGGAAGGAAGGCTAAATTCTTGAAGAAATCATGCAATGTCCATCGCGGAGCACTGAAGAGGGAGCGATCAATCTTGACTCCAAAGGAAAGGAAGGACACAACGTCTTGAACAAGCTCTTCATCACCGATCTCGTAGCTCGCTTCAAAGTTCCCATCCTTAATGTCGCTTGCAATACCAAGAAAAGCATAGATCTTGTCCCTCAATTCAGTTGCTTCATTGTTACGAAATTTAAGAAGAAGCGCAAAGAGGTCCCGTTCCATGTTCCACCAGGACTCTTTCGTGTCTTTCGAGAATCCGGGCATAACATTCAATACGGGCTCGATTGGAGATATTTCGAAAGATTTCCCAAGCATCCAGGACAGAGAGGAGAATATCCCTGCTGGGATTGACTTCTTCCCACACATAATGGTAGCGTCGCGCGCAAGAGCAATCTCCTGGATGATCCAGGCTCTTTGAAACCATTGCCTCCGAAGAAGGTCTTGAAAACCTTCAATTGCTTCTTGATGATGGATATTAATCCTTGAAAGAGACGTCCTTTTCAATTCTTCCTTCTGTCCTACGCCACATTTATTAAGCATATATCTCATATACTCTAGAGAGTCCATGGCAATATCGGTTTGCTTTTTGCTTGCTCCAAGCCAGACGACTACCTGATCTGCTCCTTGGTAGATGTTCCTCATCAGATCCACTTGATGGCTTCTCTCTTTATTGTTGTTCTGGTTAATACATATCGCATCTACCCAAACCGTTCGAGCCGAATATTTGTGTCGAAGGCATTGCAATGCTAAGTGCAGATTCTGTCGAACCTTCACCCTTTCGTTGTTGACAATAATCTTAGTCGAGTGTTCCTCTGTCCCCCATACATAAGAGATTGCTTCATATGGCTTTTGATCAGCACCTTCAAGGTTGTAGTCATTGAGCACACATCGGATATCGTCCTCAGGTTCGCCCGGAAGAAGTTTGAGAAGACGAATCACTGCCTCTTTCTCTGGCAGTGACGAGTATTTGAATCCAGGGTTTTGGTCTGCTGGGTTAACATCAAGGGGTCCTTGAGGGGTCGATGACTTTCTGGATGTTAGCTTCAGGCTTGTGTCGGCCATTTGGTCGTTCAAGAGCACCAAATTGCTGAGCAGCAGGTTCTGTAAAAGATTATCGCAGTGAAAAGGTGAGACATTAAGGTCGATGACACGTGGCCTCCTCTTATTGGTTCTCCCACCCCTCTGTTTGCATTTGACTTGAGCTCCTTAAATCGAGCTCATTCTCTCACCAAGCTCTGCCTTCCGCCCCCAGGCACAGGACTTTGCGGGATATTGGCCATAATTACGACGATATAATATTCGCCCCTCCTCATCCTCTTTTCATCGCCGTACCTTTTTCTTTCTTCGTATATCCACCCGCCTGTTTGATTTCTTTCGTCCAGCGTCCATCTATCATGGGCTCTACATCTGAAATGTCGTGCATAGCGAAACAGCGCCGTCAGCCACACAAACAACCGGAAGCCGGGTTCGCTTTCTCATCATTACCCCCTGAACTCCAAGAGCAGATAGATAGTCTCTGCCTCGCTTCGCGATGGAATACTATCGGATTAGGAATATGGACCCTTCTATTCAACAACTTTGGGACATCATACCAATAAGTGATGGAGGCACAAGCTCCGGAATATGCGTTTCTGTTAGCTTGTAAAACCACGAACCCGTCCATGTACCGTTTTCTCTAGCGTGATGACCCTGTTTCCTTTGAATGCTCTGCATGGGCTCTCGAATCTGTTCTCGGCTACATGAATTGGAACAGGGAGAATAAGAACAGAGCAGGAGCAGAACGCCTCACACAATGTAGATTAGTCAGCCAGTTCCCATATAGGCGACCGATGTTGGCCCGAACAGGTGCATGAAGCAATCAATCAATCAACTACTCAGCCAAAGGTTCCGTAATTTAGGTTACGCCTTTGAGAAACCATCATGAGATACTTAAAATCTCACGATGCTAACGAGAATGTTCTCTACTACTAAGAGCAAGCGAAACGCACAGACCCCCCGCCGAGATAACGAGCCCTCTGCGGATATGGACAGAGAATCCTCGTCTCATTTGGCTGCTGGTTTGTCTGGTTCGCCTGCGGGCTTCTCTGAAATTTCCCCAGCAATGTTCTAGGGGCGACCCCATGCTCCACCCATTCAACCAACGCCTTGAAAGTGCCTGCTGGGTATGCACCAGCGCCAGGGGCACAATGTGCCAGACCTGGAGACTCGAAGAGACGGTAGAAGTCGTGGACCTCGGGATCCAGCGCTGTTACCGCGTCGTAGTAGTGCCGTGTATTCTGGTATGGCACCGTCTCATCCGCCTGATGGTTCGCGAGTTAGTGCGGCCGCCCAGCGGCCTCTCATTGAACGTCTAAAACAAAAGCCCACTCACAAGTCCATGAACCGTAATGATCTTGCCTCCACTCTCGCGAAATTCCGAGAGATCCGCGAAGTTCGAGCCGATGATCGACTCATACTCCCGAACGCTGGCCCGGAATACCCGCTCGTAGTCCGACCTCGACATGCTCGACAGGTCAAAGTGCTCGTCCTTCTTTACAAACTGCTGGATCCAACTCGAGAATAGGGAATTGTGCTCTCCGGGCATGCACATCCCGCCTTCCGAGCACATGGTCGAAGCGATGCTCATCATGGTGGTGAGGTCCGCTTCGTATCCGAGCGTGTACCACAACATCGAACCGTTCGAGCTCCTGGCGCCAGTCCATGCCGCGTTGGCTACAGCCGCCGCCGCCTCTGATATTGCTTTCGGTCCCCCCGTGGCACTGCAATTCAGACCCGTTCCGACGAGAGTCTGCGGATTAAAGTGGCATGAGTCTGGGTCTGAGATCAGACCGTCCGTCAGGCCGTCGTTCGGATCACATGCTTTGATCGCCGCTTTGGTAAGCGCCTCCAGCTCGCAAGGATGTGGATATTGTTTCATCTCATTCATCACCTGCTGAGGGAACCAATTCGCAACGAAGAAATTCGGCCAATTGACTCCCGGGGCAGAGGCAGCAATGCCATCAAATGCTGTGGGATACCGTTGTGCGAGCATGAGGCCCTGGCGGCCACCGTGTGAGCATCCGCTGAAATAGGAGAACGTCGGTCGCTTGCCGTAGAAGCTCTGAATAACGCTCTTCCCAATCAAAGCCGCATCGTTCAACGAGACTGATGCGACATTCTGAAGGGCATAGAGATTGACGTTACCCGGGCTCAGCAACGCCCAAGGGGTACTCATGCCGTCTCCGGGCACTCCACCATCGGTGGTTATCGCAGCGTAGCCGTCAAAAACTGCGGCCGCCATGCCTGGCTCTTGGTATTCTGACGCTCCAGCTAACCAGCCTCCTCCACCTATCGCTTGCATTCGCTCGTTCCATTGAGGCTGAACCGGTAGCCAAATCTGTGTGGTTAGAGTGTCGCCTTGGCCTGGATGTGTATGAGTCACCGTGACATTGCAGACGCTGATATTAGTGACTTCGAGACTGTCATGGTTGAAATTGCTTTCAATTGAAACAGATTTTGAATAGTTCCGAACAGGATATGCTTCCAATGACAATAACTTGGCTCCAAAAACGGTAGGAAGTGAAATTGCTAGAGAAGAGCAGTTTGCAAGAGACATCGAGTACGGAAGAAGCGACATTGTGGCGAAGAACGAATGCAAAAAAGGCATACCATCACATTCAGAAGGAAATTATCCAGATACATATCTGCCCTTGTTTCATGAGCATGTTTCTTGAGCATGTTTCTTGAGCACATTTCCTCGCCGCGGTTGCGACCAATGTAACTGCGCAGCGGAGACTGGACCAGTAGTACAAGACGAGAAATACAAGCACTACCTACAGCAGGCATGTAAGTTGGTGGCAGCATATAATTAGGTGGCGCAAGATATTCACGTCCACTTTAATTTAAGGCTGCGTGAGGTAGTTTGTGCGGGACATAATGAGTTAGACTGCATGCGCCATCCAATCTATCAAATCCGAGAACGTCTCCTGTCTTTGGGTGTGTCGCCTTCCTCGACTTTGCAATACGTAGTACGCGTGCCCTACGCACCATCGGAAATTCCTCGAGCACCTGAATATGCGATCTATTCAGCATCTCATCACAATCCCACGAGATATGATTACATCTGTCACCGAAACGAACGTAAGTGATTCAGAAGGATAACTCCGCGATACGGTTATGATATACAGATCTAGAAAAGATCTGGGGGGGTGTGTCGGAAATCCGCGGCTATTACTTAGTCACCGCATCTTGTAGATTACATAAGATTACATAAGCCTGGGGATATATATACCCTCCAAGGTAAACTATGTACTTCTGACCGAATACAAGCATCTCACTGCCTCTGAACAGGTATCCTATTGCTTCCGTGATTGATCGACACGCCAAAACGTTCAACATATCTCTTTCAAAGCCTTCGCCTGCGGCAGCCCAACCGCCACTTGCTCCGGCCAAGCCTGTTCCTGTCGCCCCTGTCGCTAATCCGCAACGTTCATGCGCAGCCGGCCAGGTCCCATGCTCGGAGACCGGATTTTACTGCATCGATGGGACGACGTTTGGGCAATGCGCCTGGGGATGCGCGACGCTGATGACGATGGCGGATGGTACGAAGTGTGAGGCGAACACTGTGACCTGGGCTCTGCGACTATTAATGTAGAAGACTATCATGAGGTATGGATACTCGGAGATATTTGCGGTGAGAGCTGTTGTATGAATAGTGCTTGAAGAAAGAGAAGGCAAGCCATGGTATTGAATTTTTGGCAAGTTCCCCAATAGAACCGAGTGTCCTCCCGTAAATGGAGGGGAGGCTAAGTCAGTTTGTACATCGATCTCCTCGCGGGAGATGGGTTCTTCTCATGAACAACATCGTGACATCACGTATTTGCAGATGAAGGCGTTTCAGCAACTCTCCGATGATGATTTATAAATACATAGCATCGAAGGTTGGAAGGAAATGAGATACGCTGCAATTTTCTCCTAGGTTGTATCTAAATTCATTGACGAGCCGAATGATTCTGATGCTGTTAAACATATCAACTGTTGCCCAACTTAGAACTCTTTAATAATCTGCAACTACGTTTTGCTTTCGTTTCTTCGCAACCGGGTCTTTATCCGAATCTACAGTAAAGATTTCGTCCTGGAGCGTTTGCTCGAGCAGATCAAAGTCGGGCCTCCCGATATCATCATCTGCTTTCCGTTTTGCTCTAATTGCAACTGCGCTCTTTTTCTGAAATTCGGATGTTGGTTGAACTCGCTTATACAATCGATGATGTTCACGCTGCTTTAACCCATTATTGTATAGATGAGGCGTGTAATGCTTCCCATGCGTGCGCTGCAAGTGATCGCAAAATGGTTGTATTCCAGCTTGAATCTTTGACCCGCAGTCAGGAACTGGGCATTGACGAGCTTGATCGAGATGTCCCAAGGGTAGATGATCAGCCTTAAAGTGTGCTATCAAATCCTGGCGCTAGGAAAAGGACAACCGACGGCCAGTCGGATCGCAGAGGACGCAGATTGAACGTTCGATATGTCGATGAGCAGCGGGCGTATAGTATTTGCCGTGCTGGCGTTCTAAGTGACAGTAACACGGAGATACGCCAGCGTCAATAGCCAAGCCGCAGCCAGGAACTGGGCATTCGCGTATTTCGTCTAGGTGACCATGCCGCAAATATATGATCCGATAGTGCCTAGTAAGAGATGAATGTTGTGAGAAAGATAAAGCCTTCCCAGTCGGATCGCAAAGGACGCAGATAGACCGAGGACATAGATCTGGAACGTTTCGGTTAGAGTCATTCTTTTTGCTTCTCTTCAAAAGGCGGGAGTAGCTAGCCAGTAACTCAATAAATGAAGCCCGGCCTTCTTCATCAACGGGGGTTACATCAACGATGACGTCGCTGTTCGAAATCGGCGGCTCGGTAATGGTAATATTGCCTCCCAGCGCCCGTGCATCTTCCATATTGCGAAAGTATTTCTCCCGCTTCTCTCGAATAGCCAAGTAGGATAACTGATCTAATAGGTTGCGCTGTCCTGTCTTATGGTCCTGAAGAGCTTGGACATCTCGTCTCTTAAGCAGCTTTTTAAACTCTTCTTCACTCAGGTGGCATGGGGCAAAGGGATCCACCGTGGATGATAAGTCCGACAGAAGGGAGAAAAGGGCATCTTCAGGAGGCGCGAGCACGCCCAGCGTGACACGCGCTAGATTCTGAGACACGTAATCCGGGAAATAATACTCCTGGTGAGTATTCGATTTGTGCATAAGCATCCAATTCCCAAGCAACTCGCCGAGAATTCCAATAATTTTGCCCCCGGAACCGACTCGCATAGAGTAGGGGATCGGAGGATCCTCCATGCCGGCGACTTCGCGGCAGCGATACCATATCCTGTAGAACTGCGACCCGCTGATATCGACGAATGGGAGATCGCCCAGGCCTTGTGCCCAAGGAAGGAAAAGGACTTTGCAACCTCGAAGGCTGGGCCGGGTCAAAACTTGATCAAAGGACGTATATCCGGCCCTGAAAGCACGCCGTACTAGAGCGCGGCCAATGACGTGACTCGCAAGGCAGACCAGTCGGCATGGTAAAATGGCCACGGCAAACTCGCGCCCGGGGCTCGCAGGCTTTAGGGAAGCCACTCGCAGTTTGTTTTCTGGCATTCGGATTCGTACGAATACGTTCGTTTTCCCGTCAACGTTGGCGAGTCCTATCCTGACGTCTGCATACTTCAGGTTTCTAGGACAGTTAGTCCGGAATCCGCCAATAGCCATATAGAGCACGATCATGGCAAAGTCGCTAAGTTGTGCCGTAGAGTAGAGGATATCTCGATATCGATTCAGGAGAGCCTGCATAATGACCACTATATCCTGAGCAGTCGCAGCCCGCTTTTGGCGCTTGAGTTCGTTAGAGATACCGGTAAGCGAAGGAAGGTCGTGGACAATCCACTACGGGGACGTTAGTATCCTTCCCCGCATAAATAGAGGGCAGACCTCACATTGGAAACCTCCCATACGGGCCCTGAAATCAGTTTTCCACTTGGATTGACGAGCCTCCATTGCCTCGCGGCGCACCTGTTCTCTCTTCTTTTGGGGGCAAGGACTGCTTCGTCTCCTTCCTGCACAAGAGCTCTCCACACTGTCAGGACGCTTGATACTCGATTCACCTGTCGGACCTCCTCGGATTCTTGGTCTCCCAACGCAACCCGGGAGACCGAAGAGTCGGAGACATAGGTCTGGAGAAAGGCACGACATGTATCCTGAGCCAAGGCTACCTCTACTGGTGAAGAGCTGCAAAGGGATAACCAGGTATCGTCCGGCTCGCGGTGTAGGACGTCGCGAACGTATCTAGAGGATGTGAGTGTAGGTCATAGGCATGATAAGTCCAGGTGTTTCGTACTCCTTGAAGAGCCACATGGCGTAGCCGCGCTTGTAGGTAGTTCTGTCCGACACTGGGACCGTATCGTCGAGGGGCTTGCTCTGGAAGCCAGCTAGACGCTCCTTTGCCTCTTGTTCTCCGGCTTCGCCCTTTTTAATAGTGCGTCGTGGCGCCATAGTCAAAGACGTATCTTGGAATAGGCGTCGAGGATTTTGGCTGCGTGGAGCGTTGATAGCGTCGACTACCTCCGAACCTGATGGAACTGGAACTGAAGAAGGGTACTGTAGAACTGCGAACGGAGCTCCTGACTGAGGGCGAGACTGTAGAAACTGCGAACAGGACTCCTGACTGAGAGCGAGATTGGAAAACTAGGGAGAATGGGCATCTTTACGATCCTTACCAGAGTGTATTTTCGACGGGCCCTCGTCTTTCGGCGGTATTGGCCCTCTGTTTTCGACCTCGTTTATACCGCTGGGAGACCATAGGGGAACTCCCATTGCTGTATGTTTTTGTTTTTGTTTTGTTGAATTTTGCAGATTGCTAGGTTGATATTGTGAAAAGTTTCACTTAATGCTACATACGGCCACATCAACCTGAATATAGGGCATCCCGTCCGCTCTGCCGTACTCAAGCAGGTTAGAGATGGAATAGTACTACGGTGGGTGACCACGTGGGAACTCCCATTGCTGTATGTTTTTGTTTTTGGCTTCTGATCTATATTTTTTTATTTGGGCGGGATTCGAGCTTAGAAAAGCGGTTAGGACAAATGGTTACTGTGTGGTGCATCATGGATGTTCTATTATTCACATGGACTGGAATTCTTTGGAGGACTGGGGTGAATTTGGTCAGACAGGACATTGGGTTATTTGGGTATGAGGCTAGCAGTCGGTAGGCGATGGAACGACCGTATTATTGCCCGCATACTATAGAGACCAGAGTCGGAGGATATCAAGAACGATGAGGCACCGGCCTATTTGCAGAGATTTGATGCTGTACCCCTGAAGTTGATTTCTAATGGACCTATAGACCAGAGCGCCCTGTCGCCGATGATAACAGGCATTTTCATTACTGTACAGTGCCGCAATGTTTTTTGGGTATACTCTAATGGTCGTCTTTCAACGTTGGTCCTTCAGCAGCGACTCGAAGTCCTTCACCAAAGGTATGGTCATCAGTCTCCTCCTGGAGGTCCTCCACCGCCCTATTGAAGGATTAGTAAATCAACGGGATGAAAGGCGGCTATCAACACTTACCATCTGCCGTGCTTTGAGCATCTCATCACATAGCAGCAAGTTCGAGGCAATGCCCGAGCTTGATGCTATGCAGTTTCGCAGCACTCGGAAAGAGTCGAATACACCTTCTTGGACGGGATCCATCGGCTCACCGGTGATGAGGTCCAGACCAACGACATTGCCTTCCGCCTGCTCATCCTGAAGTGCGGCAACTAGACGCCATTAGCACTAGCAACCACGCCCATTCAATCGTTCGAAACTTACGGGAATCCTGAACATCATGGCCAGCGTTGGCGGCGAGGGTCTTGGGGATCACAAGCAGCGCATCCGCGAATGCGGTTACTCCGTACTTCGCCTTGCCCTTGACTTCCTTGCGGAACTTCTCGCCGGTCAGATGGGCGTGGCAGGCGACCTGGAAGGCTCCGGCACCAGGGACCACGCTCTTGTCGACGATCATGTTATACACGCTGCGGAGGCCATCACGAACAGCATCCTTGATCTGCGTGATGGTGTGCTGATTGGGACCTTTGATCAGGAGTGTGACGGATTTGGGGTCCTTGACCTCCTCCTATGCAAGAGTCAGATGCGGAGTCGGAGTGTAGGCGTGGTACTTACGATGAACGTGAACTTTTCTTCACCGAGCTGATGCTCATAAACCAGCCCAGCCCACCCAAGAACGTCCGGTGACAGATCTTCAACGCTGTTCTGAGCGATGCCTCCACAGATGAGCTGTAACCTCTCCATGTTCCTTCGCTTGGCTCTTCTTAAGGCGAAGATCCCGTTCTTGACCAACACATCCAAGCTCAGAGGATCGATTCCTTTCTGGTTGATGACGACGAATCCCTTCTTCGGATCATCACCGCAAACATGCTGCTTCAACTCCACGATCTTCCTCAGCTTCGCGTCCACAAATTTTCGCTCACTCTCGACGAGCTTTTCCCGCTGGTCGGCGCTCGAGTAGTAGAATCCGGAGTTGATCTCCGACTTCTCGTACTCCAAGCTCACGTTTAGTGTTAGGATGAACGCATTCTTGACCTTCTTCGGCATGTCCGGATGTCTCGCTCCATGGTCCAGCGCCAGCCCACGAATCAGCTGGGTATCCGACGCCGTCCGATGCTGCATCGTCATGATCTCCACCATATGTAAATCCGGCTTCGCAGGCGCCTGGTAGATCGCCAACACCGCATCCACGATATCAGGAGTCAGCTTCTCGGCAAGCGAGCTGTTCAATTTGGTAGCGAGCGATGTGCGGGCAACGGAAAGCAGGAGTTCGCGGTCGACCTCACGCTTCAGCTTGAAAGCGTCGAGGAATTTGAGCGCTTCCGTCTTCGCGAGCTCGTAGCCGTCCGTGATCACTCGAGGGTGCAGCCCTTCGGAGATGTAGCGGTCCGCTTGCTTGAGGAGTTCGCCGACCATGAGAACAACTGAGGTGGTACCGTCGCCGGTGATTTCGTCTTGTGCGGTAGCGGCGCGGGCGATCATGACGGCGGTGGGATTTTGGATTTGCTGAGGACTGTAAGCTCGTGGTCTAGGCTGGAGGCTGAAATGGACATACCATCTCTTTTAATAAGACGCTGCCATCTTTTGTGAGTTTGATCTAGAGACGTTCAGTTCATATCATCACGCTTGCATAGGTAGACGAACGCTTCCTGATCCATCAACCAACCTATAGAATGAATTAGCTCATCGTCCTTTCAGGCAGCATCACAGGACATACATCTTCAGCGTTCCCAGTGGTCCCAAGTTTGATGACAAGACCTATATTCCCGACTGGTTAGCTTTAGAAGCTCGATATATGAACCAGCTCTCCATACCTGCTGTAGACCTTCTCCAGCGGAGATGTTGACCTTGAGGGCTTCTCCTCTCCTCTGCAGGACTGTTAGCTCTGGACGGTAATAGGAGCTGGATATCCAAATACCCTCGACTCGGCCTTGGGGTTCAATAGCTGTGCAGCAGACATGATTGCGAGAATAACAGGAAGAAATGGAAATGATTCAAGACGAAGTTGTGGGATACAGCCAAATGCTGTAGCTCTGTCTCTGAGAGTCTCTCACACAGGTGCTGCACGGTGAACTTTTGCCAAAAGTTCGGACCCGCGATGGCTGCTTCCTGATTCGCGTTCCTTCCAAACGTCGGCGTCGGCTAAATATTTCACCCTGGCTCCCAACCAATCACATGCGCCCATTTTGCTCCGCTCGAAATTTTGCTTCAAGCTGCACTTCACCTTCACTTCTACGGAAAATCTCAACGAAAGTGCGATCGTCCTCTTTCCCAATCTTTCGAATTCGAGAACCATTGTGAGACAAAATATCCGTCAAGATGACGGCCGACTACTTGCTCTATGAGTCCAGTGTGGGCTACTCGGTATGTGTTGCACAATGCCTCGTCGCAAAAGTTCGTAGCAAAAGTTCACACAGCTGACTTCGAGTAGATCTTCAAGGTCGCCTTGCAGGCCGATAGTGTCGGCAACAGGCTTAAAGAGGTGCAGGAGCGATCCCAAAACCTGGCAACCTTCGGTACACATTCCATCATCACGATGGGCGTCTTAAATACTGACTCGATGAAGGGAAAATGGTCGACCTTGTGTCCTTCGCGCCATTCCAAGGTGCCAGCCAAGCCCTCGAAAACGCAAACGAGATTTCGGAAGGCCTTGCATCCAATTTCCTGATGGCCGTTGTCGAAGCGAACATTCCCAAGTCTAAATCGAAGAAATCCATCCTCGGTGTCTCCGACAAGAATCTTGCGTCGAGCATCAAGTCGTCGTTCCCCTACATCGAATGCGAGACGTCGGAGACCAGCGAAGTCGTTGCGGACCTCCTTCGCGGACTCCGCCAGCATGCTCCCAAGCTCCTGAAGCAGCTGCAGGAGACCGACATCGGTCAAGCTCAGCTTGGTTTGGGTCACGCATACTCTCGCGCGAGGGTAAAGTTCAGCGTGCAGAAGAACGACAACCATATCATCCAGGCGATTGCGACCCTCGACCATCTCGAGAAGGCTGTCAATACGTTCTCCATGCGCGTCCGAGAATGGTATTCGTGGCATTTCCCCGAGCTTGTCCGCCTCGTTTCAGAGAACCAGAAATATGCTACTGTGGCCCTTTTCATTGGCGACAAGAAGTCACTGTCCGACGACAAGCTGCATGAACTCGCTGCTCTTGTTGACGATGATGAAGCGGTGGCGCAGAGCATCATCAATGCGGCAAAGGTCAGCATGGGACGCGACATGTCTGAAGGAGACATGGACCATGTCATGAACTTCGCCAAGAGGGCGGTGCAACTTTCGAAGTTCCGCAAGAGCCTCCAGAATTACCTCATTTCCAAGATGTCCATCGTGGCTCCTAACGTGGCCGCTCTTATTGGCGACACCGTTGGCGCGCGCCTCATCGCCAAGGCAGGCAGCTTGACCAACCTTGCCAAATGCGCCGCATCGACGGTGCAGATCCTGGGAGCTGAGAAAGCGCTATTCCGAGCTCTGAAGACCAAGGGAGCGACCCCGAAATACGGTCTCATTTACCACTCATCTTTCATCCAGAAAGCTGGCCCGAAGAACAAGGGAAGGATATCCCGGTTCTTGGCAAACAAGACGTCGGTTGCAGCTCGTATCGATAACTTTTCCGATGCCCCAACGCGGGCGTTCGGTGAGGCGCTGAGGAAACAGGTTGAGGAGCGAATCGACTTCTACAACACTGGTGCCGCGCCCAGCAAGAATGCCGATGTTATGGTAAGCCTCATTCCCCTGCATTCAGAGTGCCTGCATCTAATTCGCGCATAGAAAACGGCTATGGATTCCGTGCTGTCTGAGATTCAGATCGACCCGACCGCTACTGCCGACGAGGATGTCGAGATGGCGGATGGTGTCACCGCCCAAGCGACCGATCAGAAAGTGCGCAGCAAGGTTAAGAAGGACAAGAAGGAGAAGAAGGAGAAGCGGAAGTCTAAGTCCGCTGTTGATGAGGATGATGCCGAGGCTGAGGAGGAGGTGAAGGAGGTGAAGAAGGAGAAGAAGGATAAGAAGAAGAGGAAGCATGATGATGACGAGGGCAAGAAGCACAAGAAGAGCAAACACTAGCGTGATGCTCTCATCCACTTCTGTTTCCTTCTGAGCATCGTGTACGGCGTTTATTGAGGGCCCATGAAGACTTTGAAGGGGCGTTTGGTGTTAAGTCGGGATCCGAAATGCTTTGGTGTACAATTGCTGCGACACTTGTGGCAGGCGGTGGTCTTTCAGGAGTACTTCTGACACTATTGTACACGCTATACTTCCGTCGACTCTCCCTTTCCTGGTCCCCCTCCGGACTTCGGAACTATCTTCAATGAAAAGTCTACATGTTTCACACCTTGATGGATGCTGCTCGTGCTGATCACATCGATGTCCTGACACACATATGCCTCCACATTCTCCTCCGTCAGCCCGCCACTCACTTCCACCAGCGCCTTTCCCCTCCCCCACTTCTCTTTCAGCTGCTTCGCACACACCTTGACCCCCTCCCCAGTGAAATTATCAAGCATGACCACATCCGCCCCGGCCGAGATCGCCTCGTCTGCCTCTTCGAACGTCTGACACTCTACCTCCACCTTGACTGCGAAGCCACCCGCTGCTTTGGCCGAGGCGACGGCAGACGTGATGCTCCCCGCGCTCGTGACATGATTGTCTTTCAGCATCGTCATAGCGGAGAGATCGTGACGATGAGGATCACAGCCGCCCACGAGCATGCCGTACTTCTCCACGAGACGGAAGCCAGGCGTGGTCTTGCGGGTCCCGGCGAGGGTGTTCTGGTAGCCAGCCTTCCGTAGCAGCGCCAGCAGGTCGGCAGACTTGGTGGCAATGCCGGAGCAGCGGGCAAGCGTGTTGAGCGCTACTCGCTCGCCGAGGAGGAGCTTACGCACTGGTCCGCGGACGGTGGCGCAGTGCGTGACTGGTTCGAATGACTTCCCCTCTTGGACATGCCATTGCACGCTTGGGCAGAAGTCAGTGGCGGACGCGCGAGGAAGGGGCAATTAACCCACCTGCAGTCCAGCTGCTTGAACACTTCATCGAAGAACGGGACACCGGCCACCACGCCCTATAATGCGGGACAGTTAGTAGTCGATTCCCAGTGAGCTGGATTGGTATTTCAAGTGGTGGCCGACTAAGACATGGCGTACTTTCGATTTACCCAATAACTTGGCTTCGGAGATCTCTTCGCCAACAACGAAGCCACCGTAGTCGAAACTCGGGGTGTCTTCTTCCAGCCACTCGGCGACCAGGCGCTTGTACGTCTGCGGGAGGAGGTGGGCGACTTGGCCATGCTTCGGGGCGCCTTCTGCGACGCTCATGGCTCGGGATTCTCCGTTCTTCGATTACTGCTATTGAGAATGGATTTCTTTTCAACTGGAAGCTTACTAGGAGCGATAAATTTCAGATATAACAATATATTCTATACCAAAACTTTCCTGATCAGTGATCTTCAGAATTCAGATGTCTGAATGACCTCGGCGTGTATTAACCCGATTTGGACTAGCGCGCTATAGCGGCCCAATTATCCGAGGCGTCGAAGCATCTAAATTTAACGACAGCGTAACTACTACTTTGAGTCACCTGGGGGATTACAAGTATCTTTCTTGATCGCACTCGACAATTTCCACATGTCTATGCGGGCTTAAGCGCCGTATTAGCGATTGTTCTAGAAACAATGTACAAAAGAAGTTGCACTCCGAAACCGAACTACGCCACAGATATCCATTGACTCACTTGCTCTCGATCCCGAGACCGCAACCTAAGCCGCGTTGAATCCAGACCAGAAGTCTTTCTTCCAAGCATTAATGAGCTCCTTGACTGCAGCATCCCCAAAAGGCGAAATTTGCGTTCCGAAGATGCCCGCAACGCCCGACTCCTTGGAAACAAACCAAATCGTACCAGCAGCACCTCCCCACCCCAGAATACCTTTTGGCTGGCCAATTTCCGGCATGTTGCCCGTCAACAGCAATCCAAGTAAGCCGTGGTTTACCTCACTGTTTGAGACGGGACCAGAAATGGTTTCCCAAGCAGGTCGGAGTTGCTGCAACATCGTCATCGCCGGTGAGCCAGGGGCAATCTGTGGTTCGAAGGCTAAAGCGATGGTCTCTGGCTTCAGCAGTTTTGGCGAGTCCGAAATCAAATCTGCGAGTACAGCGAGATAGTCTTTCGCCGTGGCCACCAATCCATGACCGCCGTCTTGCTCGTTTGGATTGTCGCCCTGCCAGAATTCGAACGGTTGAAGGAGTCCGTCTGGTGTGCGCTCGGCTGCCTTCATCAGTCTCGACTTGTACTCGGGATCTTTCGAAATCTGGAAAGTTGGAAATGGAGCAGAGAGGCCGACTTTGCTCCAGATGTTCTCATTCATGTAGTCTTCCAGGGACATTCCCCCGTGTAGGCGGCGGACAGCCAACCCTGCCCAGTCTATCCCCACTCCGTAAGCCCACCCATCTCCAGGCTCGAATACAAGCGGTACGTTGTATTTCTCCGCGATGGAGACGCCAATCTTGTCTTGTTGAGCTGCCGGAGTTGTGGCCCATTTGATGAGTAGCGGGTTCAGAAATCGATATGCCAGACCAGAGGTATGCGTGAGGAGATGTCTGGCGGTGATCTTGGTTTTGCTCGGTTCAGATATCAGTTCCGACTCGGATCCGAGCTTCAGAATTTCCTTGTCTTCAAGCTCCGGGAGAACCTTAGCGATTGGTTCATCAAGACCAATGAGACCCTTGTCGACGCATTGGAGCAATGCGATACTGGCCATCAATTTGCTGCCGCTCGTCATCTTGAGAACGCAATCCTCGCGAAGGGGTGCCGCGTCTCCTCCTAAGGAGTCATAGCCTGAGATTTTGTTGTATATCTCATTCCCTGTTTCAGTCAACTTGAGCTCACTACAAATTTTCGATCGAGTGGCAACCTACCATGCTTATCCACGCATTGGAAAAGTGCGCCATGGACTTTTGCGTGCCCCTTTTCGGTGAACTTGGCAAGTAGATCGTCGAATTCAGACATCCTTTAGATTAGCCGGATATTGAAGAGCATGAATGAGCAAATGCAGAAATTTCATAAATTTAGTGGCAGGAACTTCGGGTTAAATAACAACTGGTTGGCATGGGACTTGCAATCAGACGTTCAGACTGCGATATAGGCATTGCAGATCCTAACTATTTCAAGACACCGAAGCTGAGGCCGGTGATTAGCATAATCCGTTTCCATTTGCCGGGTGCCTTCATTAGACATCGAAGTCTTCACATCGATTTCAGGGCGAACTATTAAACGCTCGACGAGGGTAACAGACTTATCGTTATTGGTAGGATTGACTAAATGATGTGTAACTAAGCAATCATAGTGCCCTAATCTCGGGAAGGGCTCCAGAATAGTCCCCGCAAATGGCCTCAGCCTACAGAGCGATGGCCGATGGGCCTTTCAGACGAATCTCTTTCCAGCCCTGGAAAACATTTAGACCCTCAGATGGCAGAGCATATAGATGCCTGTCTGTCTCGTCATATAACCACGATCTAGAAATATTATACAAAGTTATAAGAACGAGAAAAACAAGACCGCCTATCATCGAATAAGCGGCGTCTTTGAGAGCAACAGCCATAATTCCTACTCGTAAAACGGCTGACATAAGATCGCTGATAGGGAAGAGTTTGTTAGAGACAAGGAAAGTTCCTGAAGCCATATTTGCGAGACCTTGAGAACGCGATGATAGTGATGAGAAGATGTGGAAGATCTTGAACCAGCGTCCGCTGATACGGTCGAACTGTTTTGGTCCGAATTGGGCTAGTCCGCAACTGGAAACTGGAGCTGGAAGCCGGAGCGACCAATCATCAGAGGCGACGAAACATCTAAATTTAACGACATCTTCACTTCAACTTCCGCCTTCCGGTTATCACCACCATTACGGAGCCCAGGCATCGTTCTTGATACGACTCAATAATTTCCACATTTCTATACGTCGCACTGACAACAGTTTCATTCTCCCGTAGCTTTGCTGATTGAAATACGATCTGCGCCTCAGTCGTACATCTGAGCTGCAGGATCTGGGCGCTTAACTTGAATAGAACCCAAGACATGGCATGGTCTTAATGAGGCACAGTCGTGGCTTGCATATTGCATTTCAAAGCGATTCGGTGTTATTGCGCGAGCCGTTCCTTGGGCGCTTATGGCTATTCGTGTTCCAGATGGCGCTTAAACTGGAGCCGAGATTTGACTACGGTAACCTGGCACTCTGGCTGCTCAACATCGCCCCAACGCATCCTCCTGTTGGCGTGTGCTGGCCAACATAGGTTGGATATCCATACATCAAGAAGGAGAGAGACTTCGCCGCATGCAGGTCTGAAATCACAGCAGTAGGTAAGTCGGAGTAACCGCCGGCTAACCTGCCGGCAGTATATTCTTCTACGGTAAGGGTTTCTATGATTCGATACACTGTTCGAAGTGCCTGGTTTCATATCCATTTGTGGACGACAGGCTAGAACCCAAGCCGCCGGGCGAGATACTGTTGGTTGAGATACTGTCGCATGCGATCCATTGATTGAGCCTCTAGAGCTACTGCGCTTACCGCTAACAGGGTTGAACAGGACACTGGCTGACGACCGTTCACATCTTCGGATAAGATGGATATATGCGCAAGATCAGGCAATCGTAGATGCAGCCTGGTCACATTGTTCAGGTCTCTTGGTCGAAGGTACGCATAATTCTGATATTCTTTGCTGTCCGCATCTTAATATTCAGTTTCGCTGTCCGTTCTTTCCGATATTTGCATGTCTTTTGAGTAAAAGAAAGATAAATACAGCTGGTCTGTTGTCATGTCGCAAAAGCCTCTCCCAACTGTTCCATTCCAAGACAACGAGAAGACGAATCTTGCCGCGATATCGGCTTACTATAAACCGCACTTGCAATCACGGACCGAAGTACAACGACCCTCCAACATATTGCACTGGAATAACCAAAAACAATCTGCTGCCCCTAAGGCTGCGATACCATTACGAATAGAGCGGACGAGAAAATCTTCACCGAGAACAAAACATCAGCAGTCCAACGATTACACAGAGACTTCGAAAGTTCGATTTCTTCCTTCCGCTTCTAATCCACCAAAATTTGCAACTTGTGTGCGAGTGGCAAAACCAAGAAGCCTACTTTTCGACTACCCTATAAATCATGGCTTTGATGCAAGATTTACGCGTCGGCAGTCTAACGAGCACTTGGGGCTTGCTATCACCCATATAGATACCAGCACGCAAAGAGCTGGAACACCATCTCAAGAACAAACAAGAGGAAGCACGTCGCAACCATTCCCCCCGAGCTATGGTTCTCCGCCGAGTTCCACAGATAAACTATCAAAGCCCTATCTGGGACCTCGACTGGCTCCCTTGGACCCTAAACTGCGAAGGAAGCTACCGACGCTAGTGCAACTATCGGAATCCAAGCCAACCACCGAGACAAAGGCAGCATGGAGGTTGGTTCCATCGACAAACCGGCCCGAGAAGCCCAAGAAGAGTTGGAACCTCATCTTCACACGGTGGGTGACCGAGTGGTGGCTTTGGGAAATCCTATGTTTGTGTGCCAGTGCATTTTGTATGGGAGCCATCATCACCACATTAGCGTGCTACGACGGGGAACCTATACCTGAGTTCAAATTTGGGATCACATTGAACGCCTTTATTTCAGTCCTTGCTAGGATTTCTTCCGCCTCTCTTCTTTTCCCAACATCAGAAGCACTCGGCCAGTTGAAATGGAATTGGTTTCGGAGTGATTTGAAAAGAATGATCGATTTCGAAATGTTTGATTGGGCGAGTAGAGGAATGTTGGGCTCTTTGGCTCTTCTCATACGAGTCAGATTCAGGTACGAGATAACACCATTCATGGCAGTTCCATACTCAGCATGATACTCGTGTAATATCTACTATGGTAGGACATGCTAACTCCAAAAATAGATCATTAGCATCATTAGGTGCTGGCTTGATGCTTTTGTCACTCGCTATTGAGCCTTCATTTCAACAAATCGTTGTTTACCCGGAAGTGCCTGTCCGCAAAGGCCAAGGACTTCTCCCTCGCAGTGTTAACTACCTTCCAAAACCCGACAGACTCACCTTCAGATCTGGTGGCGATGGCCTCAGCTCCAACGTCCTAATGGAATCGGTCGTCATGCCTTATCTGGAAGGAAATGGCACCGCAGGGGACATCCGCCCGTCTTGTCCCACCAATAATTGCACCTGGGCGAATTACGATTCACTCGCTGTATGCGGTTCCTGTAAGCCAGTGTCGGAGTTTCTGACATTTTCATGCTTACCTTCCCGGCTCGATTGGATCACGATCCATGGGGTATTGTCCCCAGAGACGGTTCGGAACGGCACAGCTTGCGGATATTTCATGAATGCCACCTCACTAAATCCGATACTGATGTCCGGATACATGCTAAATCCCGACGGCTCTCCTGGGCTCAGCCTAGGTATGCGTATGCTGCCTACATGGGACATGACTACTCTGCATACTTTATACGGGGGCTCACTCATGTTTCCCACGATCCAAAACGCCATTGCCGACTTCTTCATTACCAATGTACCAGGCGATCCTGCTAACGTATATGCGAACATCACTCCAGTGGCTAATGAGTGTATACTCAGTTGGTGCGTCAAGACGTTTTCATCGACCTACATTGATGGGCGTTATGAAGAGCGTGTCGTGGATATATTTTACAATTCGACACCCCGCGAATTTCCGTACAAACCATTCAAGAACGACACTGTGTTGGATTATATCCAGGATATTGACATTCGCCCGCCCGGTCGAAACATCACGTTTTCATTAAATAACGAGACAGCTTACATCACAAACAAACTTTTCTGGATGCATCTGCCTGGCATTATTGTCGCTCGGAATTCCACCTCAAATTATCGGTGGCTTAGAAACCTCTTTAGTTCCATGCCGTTCAATCGATCGATGCCAATTAACCCTTGGCACTCCTACAACGTTTCCGATCATGTGGATAAGCTTGCCCAGGCAATGACGGCTGTCGTACGATTGGATCCCGACAGTTCTGAAACGATTGCTGGGGAATCTTGGGGAAACGAGACAATAGTCGAAATCAGATGGGCTTGGGTCACGCCTCCTGCACTGTTGCTCATGTCTGGTCTCCTCTTCTTAATCGCAACAGTGATCCGGAGTTCTAAAGAGGAGGCAGAAATTGGTATTTGGAAAACATCTGCACTGGCGATTCTCCTTCATGGCCTTGACGAAGAAGCTCGAAATAAAATGGGCTCTTCTTGGAAAATGGGCGATGCATTTGCGAAAGCTGCTAAGACAAATGTAAAGCTGCGACCGAATAAGGAGGACTGGAGACTGTCAGGGAAGGAACTTGACAGCAACACAACGATGCTGCTCAGATCCCCGAATCCAGGGTTCTCATCCTCTCGTCCTGAGATTCATCCAAATTTCGGAATAAAGGTTACTGAGGAGAGGTAGAAAGTCGCTACCCACTTTCTTTTCCAAATGTTGAAGGGATGTTACGACAAAGGAGGTGACGATTGATTGGCTAAGCCAAGATCCGTCCCTGAAAGCGACCAAGTCTCAGAACCCGTCATTTAAGACCTGTGAACCAATTTCCTCTGCCTCTGTATCCTTGTCTTGATTGGTTGTATTTAAATAATATCTTCTGGAATTTGTTAAGCAATTTTCCGAACACTGAAGACTAAGCTGAGAGCAACCAGACCTAGCAAACTTGAGAGCATATATTTCCTTGACCTGACTATACACATGTGATGAATTCAATACTTTCAAATGACGAAACTGCCCGCCCAAAGAAAGAACGCGAAGCTGTACTTTCCGGGATTTTCACAGTTTTGAACGTACCATAAAATTCAATATCGATGTTACAATTGAAGCACCGTTGGTGACGGAATGCGTTAGGCTATCTGTATTTCATCACTTTAAGAAAGAGACATTCAAGAATTTGAAGGAACGAGAATGAAAGATGGCGCAAGGAACATCGGGAGCCATATAACTTAGTTACAGGTATTTAGAGGGTTCAGATCCAGTCCGGCATTCTCTTACGGTCAGAAACCTCCATCGCTGATGAGGTCATTGATGCAGGTTCTTTGAATATTTGAGAAAGTCTGCGTGATGTATTTGGTAGTGTCTCTGGACTGCTTTCATGTGAGATTAGCCAACCATGGTCTGGGGAGAACTTGACATCTAATCGGCTAGCTCGAGCAGTGGCGTCTCCCATCCTCCATCCTTCGCCCATGGCTTTTCGAACATCACCCTGAAAGCAGTGAAGCAGGGTAGCGAGTGCCGCGTTCTTCCAGATGCCCACATGGTCCTTCTGTTTGTCTGTTTGGAGAATAACCGCAACGAGGAAGGCGAAACTAGCTAGTAAAAGTGTGGCTGGGAGTGTGATCCATTGCCAGCGGATAAAGACGACGGTCTGAAAGGCCCACGCAGGGCCTTGCACCAGCTTCATATTAACTGGATCTGATCGTATGACATTTGTCATAGCCTTTTCAATCTTCTCAACGAATTTCGTGACGTTGTTTGGAAGCATCCATGGACTGTTCTTCAGATCCTCTTCTTTTGAGATACCTTGCCACCATTGGTGAATTAGTTGCGGGCGCGAAGATGAATTTTCAACAGTAACCCAACCGGGCATAAACTCATCAAATGGGGTCGTTGCGATGATGAAGCTGATGTTTCCGACCTCAAAGCTAGTGTTCCTTGCTGGGTTGTCGATGCTTAGGAGACGATCATAATATCGGGTTAAAACCTGAACGTCTTCCTCCAACTCAGCTCTAGGAAGCCAACCACCAGCGTTGGTGCGGTTATCAAAGTATGTCTCGGTGACAGTTTCCTCGTATATACCGTCTATCATCGAAGAAGTATATGACCGGCCACAGAAGCGAAGCATGCACTCGTGGGCTGCTGGAGTCTTGTTGGCATAGACTGAGGCACTGTCAGGCAACGAGAAGACCATAAAGTCGATAAGAGGATCCGGAGCGTCTTTAAACCTTAGAGATCCATTGTAATAGAAATAGGACTCATGGGTATAATTGTACATCGAAAAAATCCGGCCCTGCAATGCTTCGCCGGGTGTTGTTGTATTCGGCTGCACTACATAGCCGGAAACCAGAGATGGCTCAGCGGATGTAGCGTTTAGCCAATAGCCACAAGCGGTCCGAGAGGGAGCCGTAGACGAGTCTTCCAGAGGGCCTTTTCGATACCATTCGAGGCCAGTATCGAAGCATCCGAAGGAAAGCTCCGCGAAAATGTCCTCACAGGCACTACAAACCGCCAATGAATCGAATTCGTACCGACAGTTACCTGTCGGGCAAGAGACACGCTCTCTAGTAGTTATCTGGTCCCTAGACCACAAAGGTGAGACGGCAGCTTGCATCACACCATCGACTAGAGATACTGTCGAATCTATAGGTTGGTATCGGAACGCTCGAGCCACAGTGCCATTCCCTTGAAAGACTGGTATTTCATGAGAGGTCAAGATATATTGAAAAGCCGGCTCAATCGCGATCGAAAGAAGTGTAATGATTGCACCAAGTGTCGGCAATATCCTTCATATCTGTGAGCAATTGGAGACAAATGTATTTGGAAGATTTACTCACTTCCCCTTCATTTTAAAGAGGAGCCAAGATGAACCCCATAAGCCGCGACTAGCAGAGTCGAACATCTCAAAGTCGACCAATTTCTTGGAGTTTTTTTTATACCAGTTCCATTTCAGCTGTCCCATGGCTTCCGCAGTAGCAAGCAGCATTGCTGCTCCACCCACTCTCGCAAGGATTGAAACGGCCGCATTGAGAGTAATGCCGAATGGAAGCGTTGGGATGGACTGGCCATTGTGCACGACGAGCAGGACCACTATCGCGCCCATGCAGAACGCTGACATTGCCAAGCTTACCAGTTCCCACGCCCACCATTCCGTAAAAAACTGGGTGATTGTGACAAAATTGATAGCTCTTCCTCCTATTATCTGCGTGACCGTTTGCGGCCGGACAGCCCCTTGGATCTCCGGTGCCCCTGGCGATTCTGGACATAGTGTATCCTCTGTGGAAAATCTTCGTATCGGTATCCGGGGCAATGGTTTCTCGTCGTATGTGTATTTCTCATGACTTGGAGGTGATTCGCTCCTGGCGACTGGTGCTGCTGAATTGGGTACCATGGGAGTCGGTAATCACAGAAAACAATGTAAAGGATGGACTTGTACAATGACAGGACGATGAACAGCAGAAAAGGAACATCTGCAAAGGAGAGAATCTGAAATTCTTCAAGACATTGACCTAGAGCACAACAGTAATCGACTTGGCAAACTCCACTTGTTATCAAATCCCATATCAATCCTGTTACTCTACGATAAGTTGGAATGGCGCCAAATTATTGGCTAGAGAAGTTCAACAGAATCTCGAATTCAATACTATCCCCACTCTCCAGAACCGATAATATTGCGGCTCAGCATTGGGTCTGCAACATGGATGGAGGGCGAATTGGGGGCATTGCGTAGCCGCAGGGCTTTTGTAGGCTCTTGTTTCAGAGTCAAACGGGAATAGATGCATGAAATCCTAACTGCAGGACTTAAGTGTAAAAATAGTAGTATCGAAGCCCCGCCAATAAAGAGGAGAAAGCTGGCGCTTAATGAGACTGGCATGTTTTTGAATTTTGATAGACGTTGAAAATTTCTAGTCAACTGTAGGGACCATAGACGACGCATCTCAAACTTGATGTTGAATCCGAGAATCATGACTGACAACATCAGTCATCTATCTACTGCATCACCTTTGAAGGATGAAGTAACCTCGGCATATGTCTCATGTGGTCAGATTGAGAAAGGGCCAACGGTAGTAGTGAGGTATCCGCCGACAATGACCAGCTGTATCTGCTCGCATCGTCGGAAATGGCTGCCATAGACGATTAATGTTGTGAAACGCGCCTTGAAAGGCAGGTCTTCATACGCAGCTGTATTCCTCCTGATATCGCTTCAAACGTCCCAATCCATACAGTCACTTATACAGAAGGCCTGTCTACTGGTATGGACCATTACGACTACGATGTGGCGCCTCATATGTACGAGGCACCCGCTTCACTTGCCCTTTCCGTAGGAAAATCAAGTGAATCCATCCAGCCCATTTGCCATTATTTCTTCGTCACTGCTTTTGGTTAACCGCTCGATCGATGATGCAACAAGTTAAAGTTCGTTTCTACTCAGATTCAGGTCAGTCAACCAGTATTGGCCTAGGCATAGTCATTCCTATTTGATCATCTGGTCTCTCAGAGACATCGAAGCGAGACCAATATGCAGATCTTCCACGCCATATAGCAGCTGTTGTGGAAGGGTTGAAAGATTTGATACGGCTGTCCTGCTATAATTGTTCCTGTTAGCGAAGTCAAGGCGAATATGGAAGTCGCAATGAGAAACACCCTTCTAAGTAGATCTCGGTTGCGGTCGAACTTAGTAGCGCTTCACGGATTAGAAAACACCTGGACGGCAATTACTTCATCTCGGACGTACTTGCTAGCATTCGCACCAAGAGGAATGTCTTATTGCTCTTTTCTTATCGGATCCCTTTTCTTCTCTCCGAAAAGCGGCTATGTCTGTCGTTGACTGAGAGCATATATTCTTCCTCGTCGCATATTATTCGTTCGTTATCGAAAACTTCACTATGCGCGAATCTCACCATCTTGAGTTTCCCGAAGTAAGGGACACGGGGGACACAAGGCGATATAATTTGCGTCAATTCTTAACATGGCGTCCTCGTTTGACGAACGGCCGCGATACACCGAGCCCGTCAGCGGAAGCGTCCTCCTCACCGGCAGTCGATGAGCAAACCGAATTAACTCTCCCAATTGACCCTCCGGACGAGGTGCATCGTCTCCGGCAAAGGCGTCGCCGCACTGCGTGGAGCGATTCGTCCCTAACAGCTGTAGATGAAGAAGAACGCCCACCGTCACTTTCATCATACGATAGCGGGGATAGCTCTCATCCTGTGCACCGTGGAACAGCTGGGAATATTCCATTTGTAACAGCAGTGGATGAAGGAGAACCGGCATTGGAACGAGGGCAGCTTCCCCTGGATTTAATAACAATTCCAAAGGAAATCCGGGAGACGGTCAGCCTGGAGGACGATCCGAGCCTGTCCACCATTACCTTCCGCTACTTCGTACTCTCTATACTTTTCGTCATCCCTGGAGCCATCATATCGCAGATGTCAATGTTTCGGACGACTTCGGCGCCGTACTCAACACTTTTCGTCCAGATCGCTTGCCACTATGCGGGAACGTGGCTGGCTAACGTACTTCCTGCCTGGAGAGTCAGGATTCCATTCACGAAATATGGCTTTAGCCTGAACCCGGGACCTTGGAGCATCAAAGAGCATGTGTTGGTTACCGTTACGGCTGCTTCAGGGGCCACCAGCAGCATGATGGGCATTCCAATCGCCCTCGCAAGCTTACTCTATGGCGAGACGATTCATCCGGCCATAGCAATTGCGTTCATGTTCGCGAACGTCTTCCTTGGCTACTCACTGGCTGCCCTGGCGCGGAACTTTGTGCTCTACGATCCGAAATATCCCTGGCAGAGCGCAAGGATGCAGGTACAGCTATTTGAAGCCTTCCGTCACGACACCGAGGACAAGCAACTCAGCAGCAAAAAGAGACGAGTGTTTTTTATTTGCCTCGCTGGAATGCTGTCGTGGCAGGTCTTCCCTGAGTATGCGGCCCCGATGCTCAGCTCGTTGGCATTCTTCTGTTGGGTTTTCCCTCGCCAACCCGATGTGCAATTCATGGCTTCAGGATTGGGTGGTGCAGGCTATGGAAACATCTCTTTGAATTGGGCCAACGTCGCGAGCCACTGGTGCAATCCAATGATTGTACCATTTACCACAACTATGCTCATTGTGGCCGGCTATGCCCTTCAATGTTGGGTATTTCTACCCTTGATGCGAGGAGGAGCTATTGGGAATGGGAACGCCCCTTTGATGTCGAATGGAGTTTTCCTTGCCAACGGGACTCGATACCCAGCGAAGGAACTCATCGGATCGAATGGCACTTTCAATTCAACTGCCTATAAAGAATACGGCCCGGTGTATATGGGAGCTCATTTTGTCTCCACCATATTCTTCGATTATGCCGCCTATGTCTCTGGCATTGTCTGGATGGTATTCTTCGGCTTCAAGGACATCAGGCGGAGTTTCATTTCATTTCATCAGCCATACACCGACAGACTGAATCTCCTGATGCGGTCCTACAAAGAAGTCCCCTGGTGGTGGTATATTCTCCTTTTCCTCGGTTCCGTTTCCACCATTCTCAGTATCCTAGGGAGCGACCAGTTCTTCGCCCCCTGGTGGGCATTTTTAGTGGCTCTGTTCTCGGCGGTCGTCGTGATAGTTCCGTTCTCATGGCTGTATGCCCTCACCTCGTACCAAATCAGTACCGGAACGTTCAACGAGCTCGTCTATGGCTGCCTGATCAATCATGGGGACGGAAACCACGCACAAAAGCATCGACATCCTGTGGGGGCGTCTGTTTATGGAGCACTTGCCGGAACCTCGTGGTATCGCGCTCAATTCATGCTGCAGGACCTGAAGATTGGCCATTTCATGCACATTCCACCTCGTGCAACCTTCTTCAGCCAGATCTTCGGGGAGTTGCTCGGGATCCCGATCAACTACGCAGTCATCCTTTGGATGCTCAGGACCAAGGGAGAGTACCTTTCTGGCGTCAAAGTGGACCCATTGCGGCAGTGGAGTGCACAAAAGATCAACTCTTACAATAGCCTGGCGGTCCAGTACGTGCTCATTGGGCCTCGGCGCATGTTCGAAGAGAAGATCTACAAATATCTTCCATATGGGTTCCTGCTTGGTGCGATACTTCCAATTGCCGTTTTTCTTCTTCACAAAACGTTCAAAAAGGCTCGGTTCGAGTTGTTTAACACCACGATCCTACTCTCTTCTATGGGCTGGTTTTGCGGGAACGTATCGACCGGATACTTATCACGCCTGGCGGTTGGATTCTACTCGATGTTCTGGACGAAGCGACGTTGCCCCGTCAAGTGGGAACGTTACAACAACCTTGTTGCCGCGGCGTTCGATGCGGGCTTCAGTATCAACCAACTTCTACTCTTCCTGTTCTTCAGTGCTGGGAAGAAGATTGCCATGCCGAATTGGTTCATGAATAACAAGGACTCGGTGGAGAGATGTTTCGCGTTGGACGACACAAAGGGCACTCAGAAGCAGGCTTGAATTGGTCTGGGTTCGTAACTACATTCATTGCGCATTAAAAAAAAGCAGAAAGGGATCGTATCTGCATGTGAGACTGCAATAGTCACACTCATTAAATTACCGTGACAAATCATACTATGAAATCGGATTGGTCATAACGTTCACCTAGTGATCGGTCAGTCTCCACACAATCTGTGCAGGATACAGTGCAAGAGTGATGAAGTGCAATATGGTCTATTAGATGATGGATAAGAACTACAATGCTGACCGTGGATATCCAGTCAAGGAGTATTCGTTCGTACTCTCCTCGTGCGCCACGCGGCCTTCAGACTGCAGCTTCTCTAACACCTGCAGCACGCCTCGTTCCGCCGCCTGGTGCATATGCTCTACCAGATCTCTATAAATCACCTGCACCAACTCTTTGCTCGTCCAGCCATGCCCCGGCTCCATCCCCACCGCCGTCTTGTCGCTCGCGAGTAGCCCCAAGATCTGGTTCTCCCGCTCCTGGCGATGCGCGATGTACTCGGCGATCCGCTGCGGCCCGTTGTCGATCAGCGTGCCGTGGGCGGGGTATCCTCGGCCCTTGAACTGGGTCGCCATCCGGTCGAGCGAGCCCATGTAGACCGCGAGGTCCTCGAATACCGAGGTGCCGTTGCCCAGGACGTTGTCGCCGGTGAACATGGCGTCCTCCTCCTCAAGGACCAGCGCCATGTGGTCGGTGGTGTGGCCCGGGCAGTGGAACGCGCGGAGAGTGGCGCCCTGCACGGAGAACTTCTGGCCATCGCGGATGTCTTCTTGGCCTTCGTTCGGGTCGTACTTGTGGATCAGGGTGGTCGGGGAGAGGGCGAGGAGGTCGGGGATGCCGCCTACGTGGTCGGGGTGCCAGTGGGTGATGATGGCGCGCTCAATGGTGGCATTCTCGCTGGCGAGGACATTCTTCAACGCGTGGATCCAGGAGGGGATGCCCTGGGCGGAGTCGATGAGGATACGGCGAGGTCCTTGACCGATGAGGTATGTGTTCGTGCCTGGTTGTCTGAGTTTCGAGTCTCGCCGGCTATTCACAGGAGCAATTACCTTGTAGCGTGAACTATCACAGTCAGTCCATATCTAGTGATTCATCTAGATTGCGTGCTCACCTTGCCCGGGTTACCTCCCAGTATGCGGATGACTCTCGCGCTCAGTCTTTCGACCTCCGGAATATGTGGCCAAGCTGCATTCATGTTTAAGCGATGTATCCTTCAATTCACGTCATGATAAGTGCAAGACCTTTGAGCCATGGAAACATTATAGCACGCCTTCATAATTTATATCCGAGGTACGGAATAGAGGACCGGGGTTGGTAACGGGAACGTTGCGGTTGGGCGAAGGGTCAAGTGGGGGATGCCGAGATCTACCCCACGTCCGAATCGGGTCTAGTGGGTCCGATATGGAGAATTGGAGATTTCGTTGGTGGCTCACTTGGCTGACAAAAAAAGGACTCAGCCCTACCATCTTTATATGACTTGAAAAGTTCAAAGATCTTACTATTCGAGATCCGAGACCTTCATGGCCTCACATGGCGAGGATGAAGAAGATGTCCTGTACGTTTATGTTCAGTACTATCGTCAGATTTCCCGTTCTAACCAAGCATAGACGGCTCCCTGCCGCCACGCTCGCGCTTCTGGAACAGTTCTACGACGATCGCGAAGCCCAAGAAGCTCGATTCGAAGACCTAAAAACCAAATCGGAGTTGAAATTTGACAAGGATAACCCTTTGTCAATGGAACTCTTTACGGAAGATTGGAATGCCAGTCAATTCTGGGTACGGTGGCGACTGAATCGACTGTCTTTGGTTGAAGTCCAGCAACTTACGACTTACTGTAGTACGATGATCCTACCGCTACAGCCTTAGCGAGGGAACTCCTGGAGGATGCGACAGATGAGACTTGCATTGCGGTCGTATCTGCGCCAAGTGTGTTTATCCAGCTCAAGAATCTGCAGGTAACGTAGTTCTCTCCATACTGATTGAAACGAATCTAGGGGTCATAAACAGCCTTCAAATTTGGCGAATCATGAATATTTCTTGTTGGACTATCTAATGTGGGTTTTAAGGCTACGGAATATGCCAACACCCATCCGACAATCTCCCTCCTCGAGTATGACGACAGATTTGCTGTGTTCAAGGAGTTCGTTCAATACGACTTCAAGTATCCTTTCGTGTTACCAGGTTCGCGGATCCTAGAGATCCCATTCATGATCCCTCAATCTAATTCAATGCAGCGGAGATGAAAGGGAAATACCACCGCATTATATGCGATCCCCCCTTCCTCAGCGATGATTGTCAAACACGGAGTACGTTTTTACTTACGACTAAAAGGCGACGCTGACACGGTCATCCAGCTGCCATTACCGCTCGGTGGCTCTCAAGCACTTCGCCGGAGCCTGGAAGAGGTCTACCGGCCAGTGAGGCGTGGAAACCGGAGTTGATCATCTGTACGGGGGAACGGATGGAGCAACTCATCCTCAAGCTCTACAGCGCATCCGGCGTCCGAACCACGTCGTTTGAGCCGAAGCACGCGAAGGAACTAGGCAATGAGTTCCGCTGCTACGCGAATTCTGAGTCTAAGGCATCTTTATGGAGCTGGAGATAGCTCTGTTATTATATATCAAACGTAGCATCATATACATCATGCCATGCAATGTCCCACCACCCCATGTCCCACCTATCGCATGCTCCTCACATCTTCGCCTTAATCTCCTCCCCCAATGCCTTCAGCTTTTCCGTCCCCGGCTCCTGCATTGGCCACCCGATTCCCAACCCCTCCTCCTCGTTCGGCTTCGGGATCATGTGGAAATGCACATGATCGACCATCTGATGCGCGATCCGGCCGTTGTTCTGCAGCACGTTGAAGTTCTCGGCGCCGACGGCGCGGGCAATGCGTTTGGTGACGGAGAGGACCTCGAGGAGGTGGTCGTCGGGGATATCGGTGATGTGCTTGCCGTGGTATTTGGGGATAATGAGCTGGAGCAGGGCGCGTTAGATGGCGGATCGGAGGGGGGCGCGGATGGTTGGGGGTTAGGAAGGGTATACGTACGGAATGGCCCTTGCTGAGAGGGTTGATATCGAGGAAGGCGAGCGTCTTCTCGCTCTCGAAGAGCTTGATGCTTGGGATCTCGCCTGGAGTAGTGAGCTAGGGTTGACAAGGTGCCATGTGGAGAGATGATACCTTTGATAATCCTGCAGAAGATACACGCTACCGAAGACATGTTGGTTTATATGATTGTGATTTCTACGATCTTGATTTCTATGATCTTGGCAAAGAATCGGAGGTTAATTGCGGAGAAGTGAGGTCAACGGTGGGTGATGAGATGGGAATTGGGATATCCCGAGCTGACCTGACTCGATCTGGCCTTAATACTCGAACAGACCTTACTCGTATTAACTGAGCGCGGGGAGCTTTACATGGGTCCCACCCCCCCTCGTTCTAATTATCGTTTTATATTCATCTTCCCTTTCTGCTCTTTCATGTTTCCCTTTCCTATCTTTTACGGTGACACCCGAACACTCGCCGCTGCTCCCCGGATTCCCCCCCCCGGATTCCCTCCCATCCTATCATTTCCACCTGCACCTGGCCCCCGGCCCTCTGACTTCTTGCGCTCCTCCTCTTCGCTGTTATAGTAAAGATAGAGATTTCTTTTCGGGGAGGCAGCATCTGATCTCGCGAACCTTGATCACATTGCGGGAGCCCACGATATGGCTCATTCCACCACTTCACCTCACCTCTTCACTTCTTTACTTCTTCACCTCTGTACTTCTGTACACGATCCTTCCTTTCCTTTCTGCTGCTTTAGCTTCGATTGAAGCATTTCCACTCTCAATGTCTGACGTCGTACCATTTCGAGGACCATCCAGGCCACACCTACCCCATTGATCCTCCCTCCTCCCTCGGACCTCCATCCCCTCGGAGTCTGTCAACAGAACCAACCACTATGGCATCTCAAGGCGGACCGGAGGGGGAATTTGATGACCCAGAGCGCATAACCTCCTCGAAACCTTGAAAACCGCCCTACGTGCCGATGAAATACAAGGCCCAACAGCTTGGGCGTGCCTGTGGCTCGGCGACATTGATCGCCTACAGCGCATTGTAGACTTGGCTACCCAGCAGCCTGAAGGGCCGCGTCTCTATTTGGCCGAGGTTGGAGACGTAGAACAGTTTGTGAAATTAGTTCCAAAATGTAGGTTTACAAATTCATCTTATATGTTAGTATGGATTGCGAATGTTATGTAGGGACTCAACGACATCGCACGTCTTCTACCGCTTCTACTCCCTCACTACCATCCTCGTCACCGCCACCACCTTCGTCACGAGATAATCCTAGTAGAAAGAAGCGAAAGCTGGGTGATACTCAGCTGGGCGCTTCTAACTCAAAATCTCAGCGAGATCTGGTTAGTCCATCTGGAGTGGTTAATTAAGTTCCTGCTAGTAGCATTCAGTGTCGTGAGAGAGACCAACTCAAATGTGTACTCACGAAGGTAGGCGAGCCAATCGATGTGGCACATATCTATCCGTTTTCAATGCGACATGAGGATGACTCTAGTGGAGGACCTCGGTCCTCCTTCTGGGGCATCTTACGTGCGTTTTGGCCTGGGGAGCGTGTGGATATATGGAAACAGCCATATTCCCCACGGGGACTGAGGCTTCTCATAACCTTATGTGTCTCAGTCCGAACGCGCATGCATATTGGGGAAGAGCATATTTCGCCCTCAAATTAATCAGGCTTTCAGATGACAAGAAACGTCTGGACGTACAGTTTTCCTGGCTACCACCACGCAATTACACCCCTCAAGTCGACGTTCTCCAACGTCCTTCCTTGCCAGCGGACTTGGACCAAGGTCCAAACTTAGTCAAGCTATTCCATTACGAGACTGAGGAGAAAATCTGTTCCGGAGACAAAAATTCCCTTGAAACCGATGACCCAGTAGCACGGCCGCTGCCTGACTTAGGGATATTGGAGATGCAATGGCTTTTACACCACGTGGCAGCAATGAGCGGAGCTGCTGAACCCCGAGACGACTTTGGCGGCGATGACGATGGCGACATCCCAATAGCACTGAGGATGGGTGGGATTCGTATACGGAGGACGAATTGGATGCAGAATAGGCAGAGGTTCCGGATTTGTTCTTGGAAGGCATTTCATCGGCAATGTCGATTCCAAGTTCATCGCCGGCGGCCCTGCAGCATCCTTCTGCACCATGCCCAGAAGATGAACAGTCCAAGCATACTGCTACAACTCGTAAAGGAGAAGGCCATGAGTATTCAGTCAGACTGAAAACATTGTTTGAAAGATTCGTCTACAGTCATGGATTAGATGCCTCACATAAAGTAGATAGCTCAGATGCTGTGTGGGATAGGTTGCTCTGACCCCAGGCATGGCCATAGTCTCAGAGTAGTTTAACAGCGAGCAGCAAATCATCATCCCTCCCTCACGAAAACCTAATCTTCCCGCGAAGGTTCGTAACGAAGTTCTCCCACCAATTCCGCCTCGGCGCCATCTCCAATTCCTTTATGAGATCATCGTAATACGTAACGTTCGACTTTGGTTTCAGGACGTCTTTCGAGATTGGGTACTACCGCGTAATGTTAGCCGGCCTACTTCAGCATCCATCGCGTAATGCTACACACCTTCTTCATATACCGGTTATCAAGTAGTGAGTATAACGCATTAGCGTTTCTTAATTCCCGCTGTCCGTCTAGGGGCGCGGCGGGTGTGGATGACTGGACGCTTTCGGCCGCGGGTTGGGGGGATGCGAGGGATTCGCGGAATTGGATGGCGGATTGGAAGGTGATTTGGGGTCGGAGAGGATCGGTGGGCCAGAGGCTGGAGATTCGGGCATAATGCCTCGCGATCGCCTGGTGTACTTGTGAGTATGTTGAAGGTTGTTGACAGAGTTTCTGATGGATAGATTACCTGTCGAGACATGGCGGGTGAGGTACGGGAAACGGTAGATTAAGGAGGGACTATAATAACTGCGAAGTCATTCTAAATATCAGAATGACCAGCAAGTCATACGTGTGGCACAGCAGCGTTGAGCAGTTGAACAGCAACAACACCAACAGTATAAAAAGTCCAGATGGAAGTCGAATGTTCATTCGTGGTCTCTGTTGCCAACCAGAGCGAATGATCATTTCATGAGCACGTGACTATTTGAGAGGGCAGTGGCGCACGTGACTCTAGACAAAACGCCACGAATCAGGCATACAGGCATTCAGGCATACACGTAACATCGCCACGGGGTTCAGTTCCGGCCAAGCGACAGGCAAAGCGACTGACGACTCCATCTCCATCGACTCCGGAGTCTAAAGGATCACTGCAACACACATCTGATAAATCCCCATCATCATCCGTCCTTTTCACTCTCTTACTCCATTCCACCCATCAACTAGATACCCTTCTCCACCTGTGACAGCGAGTTTCTTTATCTATACCTCCCACTCTCGGGAATCCACCCACCATTCTTCCTCCGGCTTGATCACTGATCAGGGTCGCCTCACGACGGACCGCAGGCGCGCGTGGGATCAACCACGCTAATCGACTCGGCGAGATGAGTTCACAACGATACGAAAGAGTGAGTACTCTTCAGACATCTTCCCCTTTATCCCCAGTCCCTCGACACTCCCAGCGTCATCTCACCACTCTCACCTCCCCTCACCCACCATCTAACAACCCCCAGGTATCCCCCCACGATGAAGAAGACGACTCCTCCTCTCCCATAAGCCCCCACCAACCTTCCTCCGCGCACCGTTTCCCTCAACGCCCCATTCCCAACTCCCCTCCCCCCTCATTCCGCTCTCGCGCCTCCTCCCCCACCTCCCGCCTCCTCTCCCACGACCCCCTCACCACCTCCGCCGACCGCACCCTCGCCGATACCTTCGACCCCTCCGACTCCGATAGTGACTCCGACTCCGGCCGCCGCGGCTCCGACGATGCGCGCCAGCGCCTAGTACGACGGACGAGCGCGGATGGCGATGCGCAGGCGGCGACAAATGCGAGCGAGGGACTGCAAAGGCGGATGACGGAGGTGCCGACGTTCTCCGCGGCCGCGTCATCGACGCCGAGGCGGAATGCGGCGGGGAGAGGGTATTCGGCGAATGATGGGGTGTTTGCGAACCTGAGCGCGAAGCCGACGCCGGGGGAGGAGCTGGATGAGAAGCCACCGGTACGTACATGACATTCCATCCCATCCCATCCATCTCAACACCCCTATGCTGCTCAATAACGATGCTAATATGATGAAACAGTCCTACGAACAAGCCGCGGCAGACGCCACCCCGCCCTACTGGGAAACCACCATCCTCGCCCCCGGCACACTCTCCGACGACGTATTCATCGACGGGCTCCCCGTCGGCTCGCTCTTCTCCTTCGTCTGGAACGCCATGATCTCTGTCTCCTTCCAGGTCATCGGCTTCTTGCTCACCTACCTCCTGCACACCACGCACGCGGCGAAGAACGGCTCCAAGGCCGGCCTGGGGATTACGATGGTGCAGTATGGCTTCGCGATGAAGGGTGCCCCACCGTTCTCGGATCCGGTCGGCGGAGGGGGGGAATTCGGCGGGCCGGCGGATCCGGATGCACACGACTTCGATCCGGAGACGATGGACGACGACGTGAACCCGGGGGTGCCGGGCGACGTGGGCGGGGTCGGCGGGCTGAGCATGGCGGATTGGATGGCGTACGTGCTGATGATCGTGGGGTGGTTTATCCTGATCCGCAGCGTGAGTGATTATCTCAGGGCGAGGCGGCATGAGCAATTGGTGTTGCAGAGTCCGGAGCGGGGGTTGGGGGTGCCAGTGGTGGCAGAGGGGGAGAGGCCGGAGACGAGCGTGTAGCGGGGGAAGATGGGACGGGGCGTGGATTACGGAATTTTTTTGACTCGATGAGGGTTGGGGGGTGTCAGGGTCTCATACCTATTGGGATTATGGATTAGGCGTTATTCCGGGGTTTCTTTGCTGCATGGAGAGTAAATCTCCGATCCCTTTTTACCTTATTCAGAGTCTTCGAGGCCGAGCAGATCAGATCGCACCACCGTACAGCATTGCACGTAGTATGTAGCAGGTCCGAAACGGGCGGATCCCCAGTGGTCATGAATCCATATATTCCTATGTCACTCAATCATCCACGTCTATCTATCCACCCTCCGTCGCCTGATCCACCTTCTTATCAACCATATCTCTCCTCACAACCCGCACCTCCGCCTCCTCCTCCCTAATCACTTTCCTCCTCCCACTGCCCTTTCCCTCCCTCAACCCCCCCTCCCACGCCTCCAGCGCCTCCCGCGCATACTCCCTCGCACTCCGATGTCCGCTCTCCCTCGCCACCTCCTCCTTAATCGTCTCCAGCACCCGCTCTCGCGTCATCACGGTCCACAACCCTCTCGCCAGCTTCCGCGCCTCGTCCACCCCTTCATACACTTTCCCATCCTGTCCGAGCACCTTCACCCGGTCCGCTTCGTTGATCTGCTCCTCCTCATCCCCCTCCTCCTGTGACTCTTCCCGCTCCGGTCCCGGAATCTGCCCGGGCACCCCCTCCAATGGCCCTTTTCCCCCTGCGCCTACTAGATCCACTCCATCCAACACCCCGAACTCTCCCCGCCCCAACCGCCCCAACAGCGCGCCTAGACTCCGATACGCGACGCACCGCTGCGCCGGATAGCTACTTCTTGCGAGCAGCGCTAGCTCGGGGATGGTGTATCCGGCGGCGTCGGGGGCGTCGCCGTGGTGGTGGAGGCCGAGGTTGGAGGGGAGGAGGAAGGCGGTTTTGGGGGGGAGAAGGGCGCCGGAGAAGGAGAAACGGAGGGAGGTGAGGGAGAGGGAGGGGTTGGAGGGGGAGTAGGTGGAGGGGTCGGAGGGGAGGGGCTGGAGCCAGGAGATGGATGAGGGAGGGGGTGCGGGAAG